TTGTTGTTGTTACTGATAGGTTTAGTTTAAAGCTCTGATAGCTCAGATTATGAGATCATTTGGCATTTGTTTTTCTCAGCTTTTGATCGAGAAGGGTGCCTGTTTAGCCGCCATGAACTCTAACGGGTTAGATCTTCTCTCTATCTCTCTGCCTGCAAATCCCAATCCAACAGTTTGATGTAAACCTGAAGTGTCTTGATTCGTTTTGGTTTATAGATGGACGCCAATGATGGTTGCTCGCTCATGGCACCGGAACTGGCTAGAAGAAGTCCTGAATCCAACCACAGAGCATCCACAAAGCCATCCCCCAAAAGTCCCTTCTCCTTTCCTCTGCCTTCCTCTTATGAGCATTGTCCAGATTGCACAGTAAGTAATCCTTTTTACCTAATTGAAACTCAAAGAGTCTCTTAAGATTGATTGGTTTTGCTTTCTTTTGTGGGTTTCAGAGAATGTGGTTGGCGAGAAAACGATTGTCTCACTCCATGCCGTGACCCTTGCGCTGTTTGTTTGGAAAGAAAATGCACCGTTGCAGCAGATGGTAATGTGTTGAGTGTCACTACTAAAATCCAGTTTGGCTTTAAAGCATTTTGAATTTGATTATGTGCGTGTGTGTGACGTAACAGGATGTGGTCATGAGTTCTGCACAAACTGTGCATTGTACCTAAGCACCACAAACATAACATCGCCAAAGACATCACAAGCCACACCAGGCTCAGTGCCATGTCCTCTGTGTCGTCACGGCATTGTCTCTTTCAACAAACTTCCACACACAATGGCAACAGCAACGACAACTTCATCAAGAACAAGCATCTCCTTGTCCTTTTGCACTTGCTCCTCTGAGATCTTGGACACAGCTCTCCTCACTGACCCTCACTACAGTTGTAAACCGGTTGTGTCAAGACACGGTTCTCGGATCTCGCAGTCTGTTGGATCATCATCGTTTCGGTCTCTTAGCTGCAATCGTTTCCCTCCAAGTCTCTGCCTCGGTGGTTCGGATGTTGACGAACCGCAGAGCCGGTTAATGAGTGGATCGTATTCAAGATCCGGTTTAGGGTTCAGGCGATCGACGTCGCAGGTTGAAGGAAAACGTTCTTGGTTTTCTGCACTTAACCATTGTGTTACAACCGGTGGAAATGCTTGCTAATGCAAACGCAATCGCCGTTTTTTATTTTTCCTTTCTTACAAATTTTTGTTCCCAGTTTTTTGGGAGAAATCAAATTGTGCTAATTGGTTATGTGAATGGTTGTGGTGGTGGTGATTATTCATTTTGTAATAATGTTTGTAATAAATATAATTAATTTGACTTTGCCGTTTTCATTGGAATGGTGTGTATATAATAATAACATTATGAGTGAGTGTGTATTTCTTGCCGAGCCTCGTGAGCATTAACGTCATTGGTATTACACTTATCATAAACAAAGATTTTTACAGGCTGAAAGAGATTTGGAGCAAACTCAATTATGGGATTATAACAAAATTTACATAAAGCTCAGGAGGAATAGCTGAAAAGAAAAAGACATAAAAGAAAATACAGAAAGAAACAAAATATCAAAGAAAACAAAAGAACAAATCAAAACTAATAAGCCTTGCAAGATCAAGAAAAAATCTCCTAAAACTTAGAAAGACTTTCTATTGATGATTTAGTAGAAACAAAACTAAAAAAAAAAAAGGAAATGAAAAAGAAAAAAAAAAGCTCAGCAAGGATAATGCCATTGGAACACTAATATCTAAGGAATCTTCTTCTCCGTAAGATGCTTATGCGTTCCAGTGTGCAACCATGGTGTAATGGAGGAATTAAAAAAAGTTGAAAGAGGGAAATGATGATCATAATCATAAATATCATGATCACTACGATGATGATGATCATCATGATAGGAAGAAGAGGAATGATATGATGCTTTTGCTCTGAAGTGGTGATGTGAGAGGGCAGGTGAAGTTTGTGTTTATATAGGGAAATAAGAAGATGAAATTAATGGAAGCTAGACCTTTTTCTAAAAGAAAACATTAATGGAATCGAGACCCCTTTACTTAAGAGAAATAATGGACGCGAGAGATAATAAAACAAAACTAACAATTTAGATTTTTAATACACATTTACCAAAAGATTGTATAAACAACTGTTCAAAATAGTTTGGGTATTTATACTACAGTATTAAAGTCAAGATTGAAGTTAATAAAGACAAAAATGCAAGAATGCACAAAGCTCCATTAATCTACATGTATACATTACATTGAGAAGTCTTATACTAGTATTTTACTCGACCAATAATCAGAGAGTCTGAAATAACTATTTTTTAAAATTACAACAAAACACGAGCGCCCTATTCAAGTGATAGCTGAAATTACACGTTAAACGAATTTCGAATTGAGAAGCTCTTTAAATTCGTCAAGACTCGTAGTTTGGGCAATGGATGTTTACATGCAGTTTTGTAATAGAAAATCACATAGACTATAGTCATCATGCTCCGCATTTAACACGATACGTACAAATACAATTGAACTAAATAGATTATACTAAAGATTTTTGTTGTTTTTTTTTTTTGACCAAAAAAGATTTTTGTTGTTGTTAAAAGATTATACTAAAGTTTTAAGAGGTTTCGAAGCGAAATCTGAAGAAAATTGAATAATAATAATAATAAATGGCTCGATTTTCTTACCAAGATTTGCCTCTGTTTTAAGATTTTACTTTTAGCTAAGAGCCTAGGACTGTTGAACCCTGTCACATTTTTTACTGAATTACGAAATTCGGGAAGAATAGATTTAAATTTTCCTCTGTTCTCTTTTTGCTTATCATTAAGAAAATTAGGGTTTTTTTCTCATTTTCAGAAATATAAAGAGACGAGTGCGAATATTAAAATTGAAACCGCCAAGCAAAAATCAATCCTTATGTATATATAAAGCTAGACAGGAGATTCATTGGGTTTTTGGTATGTCCTTCTCTATCCTCTCTCGTGTAACAAACTAACAATCAGTAAACACTAAACAGAGCTTACCTTCCACATTATCATTTTCTTTTTGTTATATCTATTATAATTTTATAACTATCCTCCTTATAAAAATATTTAAGAAATACCCCATAAAATGGAGACAACTCTTACTCTAAGAGCATGTCCAGTGGTGAGATATGATTAATAGTCTCTCAAAAATATAATACTAATATTTTAAATTTAGTTTAATTATAATATTTAAATTTAAGTTAAAAAAAAATAAAAACCAATATCACAGTGACACATGTATTACTGGTGTGTGATACGTCTCCTGCAGAAGAGATCCCCTTCCTTCTCTTACTTTTATTATTTTTTTAATAACTGAGATTCTCCTAAATCTTACCGCTGGACATACTCTAAACTCTAATCATAATATAAAAATTTTCCTCCAAATAAGAATTGGTATAAAAGAATAATCAAATGGGGAAGGTGAGTAATTAGTTAATTACTGTAATTCAGTTTTATTGTATTTAAGGGTGGTTTATATGTAAGGGGAGAATACGAACAAAAAGCTGCAAATGTATAAATAGGTGTAATCATCACAAACTTTGGGATGTGACAATACATTGTCAAGCTTCTGTCTCTTTCTCTGATTTTCTCTCTGATGGGCTTTTAATATTGCTGTTATTTCTTAATTATTTTCAGAAACAAGGCAACAAAATTAAAAAGTTAAGTTTTTCAAAATTGAAGAAGTCTAACATGCATGCTTATTACGAAACCTTCAAAGTTCAGATTGTTCCTAGTCAAAGAATCTCTTATACCAATATAGAAAGTGGGGCAGGACGACTTTGGTATCCCTTTATTTAATCGGCAAAATTAATTCATATATTTATTTTGTTGCCAACTCGGGTGTTTATTTTTATTATTTTGGTATCGATAAGAACTCGGAAAAAGAATGTGCATGTGCTCATAATCTGTTGGTATAATGATACTATTTGTGAATATGTGTTCAACTCAAATCCAAAATCATAATGATATTTAACAACAACAGTTGTGCTTCAACTAACAACTAGATATATGTTTCAGTTTCACATTAGTGAATGCTTTTTATCACATATTCACATTTCACATATATGTGTAATATCCATTTACTGTTGTGTTCGGTATTACATATATGTGAAATGTGAATATGTGATAAAAAGCATTCATTAATGTGAAACTGAAACATATATCTAGTTGTTAGAATATTTACAATGTATTATACTATTTTTCCTTTTATAATAGTGAAATTCTAAAATGGTGTTAGTTTTCTCTTCAACGATGTTCACTATTTTTTTCCTCATATTTTTACTTTTTCCCTTAAATATAAGGAAAAAAATAGAGATCATCATTTTAAGATTGAAAGTAGAGGTGGGTTGGAGAGAAAACTAACACCATTTTAGAATCTCACTATTATAAGGAAAAAATTAGTGGAAAAAATAAAGGTGGGTTGAAGATGGTCTTAGTTGAAGCACAATGTTGTTGTTAAATGTCATTATGATTTTGGATTTGAGTTGAACACATTAGTGAATGCTTCTTTTAGCAGCACTTTATATCTTATCTTGTGTCTAATCTTGACAAGTGTTGTCAGCTTCTATCTCACAACAGGAGTACTATTGAAGTTTTGCTACCATAAATACAGTTTCTCTTGTTCAGCTAATTGGGCTTTCTGTTAGCCCATATAGGCCCATATTTGTTTATTATATGACTGGGCTTCCACCTAATTTCGATATATACTCCTTTTTCTATTTTTTCAGCTCTTTGTATTAAATTAGAAACCACTTTTCCATTTTGGGATACTTCTCTGTTACAGAAAATTCAGAGCTCTCTGCAAATATTGCCATTCCTAGGAACTTTTACCAATGCCATTACGCCACACTACTCAGATTTGACGTTTCCAAAAAATGCTTTACGACTATGACGTCTTGACTTCGTACACACTCACACAATACTTGAAGATTCCCTTAAACTTAAAAGCTACAGACTTCTTCCCTCAAAACACTCAAGCAAGAGATTTTTAGTGCAGTGGAGAAGATGGTTTTCTCTCCCTATCCAGATCTACTCAAAACATTCAACTCCCAAACTCTTTCTCAACGTTTGGTAATTATCTTTTTCTGGAAAAGATTGTAACTTTCTTGTCCATATTATGCTTGTTGTTAGACTGTAGAAGAATATATATGATTTAGAAGAATATATATGTTTCTGTTCATGGTTCCTCAATCCTTCATCTCTCTTGGTTCTCTTTAGTCCAAATTTTGCTTCTTTTCTTCTTTAACTCATAATCTGATTTGCCCCTGATATCTTAGGGTTTAGCTCTGTTCTTGCTCTTAGTGTTTCAGTAATGTTACTCTCATTTTTAAGGCTTTGGTTCTGTTCCTTGTTTAGTTGTTTATAAAGGGCTTTGTTCTGTTCCTGGGCGATGTAGGGTCCACTTATGTCCCTGATCTCTTACGGTTTGGTTCTAAATCAAACTTCCAATCTAGTTCCTCTGTTCTTGTTCTTGGTGTCTCTCTGTTTTGGTCTCTGTCACTAAAGTGGTATGTGCCAATGTCATTATCTTTAGGTGATCCCAAGTGATTACAGACAATACTATCCAACGCCTCTCCCTCAGACAGCTGTTATCCGGAAGGCAGAAGGAATCTTCTGGACAGTCAAATGGACAATCGGCCAAGACGAGACTATCAGCTTCGAAGATGGTTGGCATAAGTTCGTCACCGACCACCGTCTCATCGATGGAGACATTCTCTCGTTCACCTACGACGGCTCTCGAAGCTTTTGGGTTCGCATCTACCGGAACGGACTCATTCTCAAGGCAGAGACTCCTATCAAAGTTCAAGAAATTTCAGATGACGATGATGATGATGATAGTGGTGATGATGAGGATGTTGATTATGATCCAGACAAAGGAGAAGATAGCGATGAGCAAATGGTGATTTCTCTTTCTTTGGAAAGCAGCAGCAGTGAAGAAGATTGTATTAATGATATTGATACCACGTCTTCTAAAGTTAACAACGCTCGTTTCGAGAAAGGTATTACAAATCTGACTAATCAAAATGTATTTGATTATAAAGGACTTAATGAGTGATCATCTTCATCACCAGGAGAGTCCTCGCAAAAGAAACGAGCTGCTTCCATTAATGATCCGGACATGTATCTTGATGATCCCACTAACCCTTGCTTCATCGCAGCCTCGTCATGTTCGAAGCGTTTGGTAAAGAAAAATTAAGCGTTTAAGTTAAGAATATGTTATAAGTTAAGTACCTTAAATGTTCATTTTCTTAATCTTTTTGTTTTGTTTTGTTTTGTGTGTGTGCAAGGTGATTGCTGCGCAAGTAATCAAAGACTACAATTTGAAATTTGGTGGCACGGTGAATCTCATCGATCAGTTTGGGGAGTTAAAGGCAAAAGTTGGAGAATGGAATGATCGTTTTGTGGCTTTCGAGTGGGACAAGATCTATAAAAGAAATGGTGCAAGGCGCGACGATACAATCATATGTGAGATTATACGTCAAGGAGGTGTTGTTCAATCCATCAAACCTCATTTCATTATGAAATGATGGAGATCTTTTACAATCTTCTTTCTATGCTTTTATTGGGACCTGATGTTTTAATTTCGGATTTATGTTAGTTTACTTTCAAGTTAAAACCTATTGTGTAATATGTAAACCTTTTGTCCTTTCCTTTAGTCTCTTGTGTTAGCCTTTTTCGCTTTTGATCTTTCTGAAACCTTTATGTTTTACTCTTGGACTTAAGTTGTGACCTTTGAAGTCTAGAATTGATGGAGAGTGCGATGTGCCTAATTTTACATTTCAAGTCTTGATTTCGTCTTGACGATCTAAAAATAAGTGAAAACTAAAAGCAGATTGTAGTGCAATAGATTTGTTTGGTTTTAAGATGCCTAATTTTGTTTTCCAAATAGAGCAAAGTTACTATCATAAGATGTTCTTTTATTCTTTTACATAATTCTGTATGCATATTGGGTTATCTTCAGGCCCATTGTTGCTTAATCGTTTAGCTTTTTCTCAAGCTTTGCCTTGAGGTAAAAGCTTAATGGGTTCGCTATGCAATAAATATATGTGAGCAGAGATATAAAAAACAGAGAAATTAATCAGAGTTGAATGAAAATATGCCGTTGATATGGAATCTTCCACTAAACCTCCACCTTACAAGTTTATCAAATTTAATTTCCACGAAAGAAATATTTAAACGAATAGATATTTTCTTTGTTGGCTCGGAGCTATAAACACATATAAAGACAGTTTACTCTTCTCCATCGACAAAGAAGTTGAGTTGTCCAAATCAACCGCGTTAATGTATTTATAGCAAATCTTCCATTTTTCACATTTATTGAGCATACATTATTTAATTATTTCCGAACATCACACATTTAATAAATCTAATCCAACCCGATCAGAGTTGAACTGCAATCTATGAATTTATAAGGTTAGTGGTTGGTTTAGTCTTAAAAGTACTGAAAAAAGTTTAATTTATACATTTCCTACTAATCTCTGGCAAATTAATCTTTATTTTATGTAGTAAATGAGGAAAAAGTTTATGTTTAGTAGTATTATCCAACCAACATATTAAAATACTCACTGTTTTGATATCCCAATACAGCAGAGAGGCTGGCTACTCTCATCTCAACGCAAACAAACAATCAACCATATATGCGTTAGATCATATACTTTAATCAAAGTATTAAATCCGTGAGACTTTTGCGTCATACCTTTTCGTAGTTGTAACAGGTAAGCTCAAAGGATAAAGTAACAATTTAATACTAGTCGCTCTCTATGTGTAATCTAAAAACCAAAAAGAAAAAAATGGAGGATAAGGAAAAGGTCAAAATGCAAACAATAATTGAATAAAAATATAACACATGCAATGTTCATCATTCAGTGAACCAATCTTATTCTAATTTAATATTTTTTGGTATCTTTCTTGGCTTTCAACTTTTTAAGTGTGTTATCTTTCTTTTTCTGGAAAGTTTTTGTTAGCCTTTTTCAATTTTGTCTTATTCTTTTACATATTTTCCGTTTTGTATAGAAAAATGCAAGAAACGTAAAGCCATTACAGATTTTCTGCATTTAAAACTGCTTTTACTAGACCGTTTTTTTAATCAATAATCAAATGGTCCCCTGGTTTAGTTTTGCATATATGAATACAATTGTTTCCCTTTCACTCATCTAACCAACTTCATTATATTAAATTTTTCAATTGAGGAAACAAAATAATTGAGCTTTATTAATCTTCATTATTTATCTATCAAATAAATATCTATAATCTGCCTACATAAATCACCCCCTCCCGTACCGTACAAATTAAAACAACAAAAACTACACTGTAGAGTAAATAAAATGAACAAAAATAAACCTATATAACACCTGTTTTTTTTTACTGTTTTTACCCCTAACTGTTTCCCTTTCCCCCGCCAAAACCAGTTGAGACATATTTACATCTCTGCCCTTCCACAGTCCCACTGCAACAACAAACAAAACTCCAATCTTCCATCAAACTGCCAACGTAATACTCGTCGGCAGAAAATCACCGGCGCTCCGTTCACCGGAATCTTCATCCAGCTCTAACCGAGCAACCGTACGGTCACCGTAAGTACCAGAACACGACACTCGAGCCTTAAGCTGGCTAAGAACCGGAACAACCGCCTTCTCAATCCACTCCTCTAACTCCGTCTGACCTAACCACACTCCGCTCAATATCCTCTGAAGCGCCTCGTCCTCCACCTCTATCGATAACGACTCTCCAACAACCCTCGCGAACCTCTCCGACAACGTCTCCGATATCTTCCGTCTCACGGCTCCGAAATCAACCGCCCGGAACGCCACCGCATCGTCCACGCGGCTCACCAGCTCGTGGAACGCAAACGGAACGCACTGCAGAGACATCTTCCCGCTAAACCCTTGCTCTTCTTGATCGTTCTCCGTCGTGAGATCGCTCGTGTTATAAGAACCACCATCATCCGTTGTATCAGCGGCTGCGGCTAGGTTCAAATCGAAAGACAAACCCGACGATCCATGCTCTGTTTTCGGCTTCGTCAGCCTCTCCTCGTCGCTACACAACCAGCTAGCTCGCCGTTTCCCGAATCTCTCCCTCACAGACAACCTCAACCGCCAGCTCTCGCTCGCCAAACCCCGGAGCTTCGCTTCATCGTCTCCAAAAGACGTTGCCTTCGCATGCCAGCTCGCCGTCATGACGAAGATCACGTTACCTAAACTAATCTCTCGTCCGTGAGAATCACAAATCCTTCCTCTATCCATCGCTCGCTTTATGCTCCCACGCAGCAACATATCCGCCTCGTCGATGTCTTCAAGCAAGATAACAGAGAAAGGACTCTTCTTGACGGTTTCCGCAATCCGATCCAAGACGGTTTTACCACGGATGTTGTGGCTCCCGTCTCCGGTTTCCTGTCTCGAACCGAGCTGGATCATCGTCGGATTCGTCCCGTAGACAAGGGAAGACAGAGCAGACACCATTTTCCTTTTTCCAACTCTATCCGGCCCTGAGAAGAGTAACCACACATCTCCTTTCGATACAACACCGCGCCGCTTCCCGTTCCCGAGCTTGCATTGACTAACCGTCGCAGCCACCGCAGAGGCTGCGTCGTTCTGCCACCATACTTTCTCTGCCATTCCTTTCAGTAGCTTCTTGAACAAGTCAATGTCTAAAGAGTTCTCAAGATTCTCCTTCTGCATCACGCTGATCTTATCGTTGTTGTTCTGTACTGGTTCTGATGATATGCAGCCGAGAAAGTCTCTCACTACTCGTGCATCTCCATCTTTCTCCAAATCCTGAAAACACAATGACTACGTTAGGTTTGTGATTACGATAAGCATTTTCATCAGAATATACACAAAATAGTGAACAAACCTCTGTTCTTCCAAGAACAAGATCTGTCTGAACCGGCTCAGCCACTAAAGTGCTCACAGGCTTCAAGTGTATTCTCTCACGCAATTCTCTATTGGGATGTAACTTAGGCTGCAACGGCTGACGAAGAAGCATATTGGGACCGTAGGAGCTCGTCGTCAACGGTATCGGAATCGGAATCGGAACGATCCTCTCGTTCTTGTTGTGAAAGCTAGGATGAAGACGCACACACGCATCGTTCCATTTCTTCTGCACTTCTTCAACCTTTGCCTGCTGCAAGAAAAAAGATTCGAACCACAAAACATTAAGAACTGATCAAACTACAACCCTATCAGATCATATCATAACCGGAACTTACCGGTATACGATCGACCGGTTTAACTTTCAACAGCCACTGTGGCAGTTGTTTCGGCTGAGCTACTTCTGGTTTAACCTCTTGAGACGTTGATTCAATTTCAGAGAGCTCTCGCTCGTAACTCTGCGAACACTCTGGACAACATTTCAATCTTCTTTTCGCAGGCACGAAGCTCTTCGACGGCGTGAATGATTGAGCCGATGATCCCAAATTGTTCACAAGCCTAATGAGAAAATTAACCAAAATTATGAATATTTAGCTGAGAATTTCATAAAAGCAGAGATTTTTTATTTTTCTTTAGCAAAACGGAAAAAAAAAAAAAAAAAACCTTGGAAAAACGCCGGACGCCGGAGCTTTGGCAGCCACCGACACGGCTTGAAGATCCCAATCTGTCTCCATTGAAGGATGATAAACTTGACATCTTAGATAAGTCTCGCACGTCGCGGTTCCGATGAACCAGAGTCTTCCTTCGAATTTCTCGAGAAGCCTCCGCAGCTCCGCCACCGCCGTCCTCCCTACCTCCACAGAGAGTGTTGCCGGAGGTTGCGTTGAGCTCGGTTGCTCCACGAGCCATTTCAAGTCTCCCAGATCGAGAATCACTCCGCCGCCGCCAGGATCCGAGTTCTTAATTCGGGTCTCGAGCAGCCCGTCCAATTCCCTGATTCGCAGAGCCTTATCCGAATTGATTTCCTCGAAATGAATCACCTTCGAGCTCTTCACCGACGGATTATCGACTTCTCCGGCATCGATTTTCTTAAGGATCTCGCGAATTACCCGAACAGGCTCCGAATCCCCGACTAAAACCGGGTTTTTCTTCTTCGCCCGACCCAATATCTCCATGACTCGCTCCACGTCGTCGCTCTTAACTTGCCCCGATTGCGCCGACGCGTTCTGCTGCAGCCTTGGGTTGAGATACGTGTTCCGGTTCATCGGGCTCACTCCACCGGGTCGGAAATTCAAACCGACGGAGGAAACGCTCGGAATTGGCGTCGGATTCGACGAATTGTTACTCAGAGACTGTTCAATTGTAGCTTTGACTGCGGGACTGGAGAAGCTAGCCTCTCGCATAACCCGACTCACACTCGGGTCATCCAAAATCGAGATGATAAACTGCTCCAACTCCACTTTAACCGCTAGCAACGGTTGCTGCTGCTGCTCCGGGCATCCACGCCGCTGGTGAGCCTGCGCTCTCTTCAGCGCCGCCATAAGCGCGTTCGAGATCGGCGGATCGTTCGCCGGAGTCGCCGTCGCGGTGGGGAGACGCTCGAGGGCGACGCTGAAGCAGAGCTCGAGTGCTCGGCACTGAAGCGGATGGGAGGAATTGGGATGGGATCGGATGCAAGCTCGTCGGAGATAACCCGCCGGTGAAGCAAGAAGAGTGGCTGCGACATGAAGAGGCGTGGTTTGGCCGTGATTACGACGCGCCGCCTCGGAGATTGATTGGTTTAAGACGGTGGCAGCCTCCGGCGTCAGAGTCTGTTGGATCGTACTTAAACCGGCTCTCATCGTTGTTCGTCCACTTTGGTGTGTGTTATCTCTCTCTCTCTCTCTCTCTCTCTCTCTCTCTTCCTCTTTCTTCAATTATATGTGTGAGAATTAAAAAATTGGGAAAATGTGATAAACGAATCTTTTTTAAGGCTGGGAAAGGAAATAAAAATTGAATCTTTTTGAGTTGGGTTCTCAATTATTCAAACAATTTGATGAACTGGGTTCTTCGATTCTCCGATCGGCAAAAAAAAGAGAAAGAATATGAATATATAGGATTTGCCTGAACTCATTCAAAGAATATCCACCGGCCAGAGAAAAATGAAAAGGGTTAGATAGGTTTTATAAGAAGATGAGGAAAAAGGTAAGTCTTTTTTTCTGATTTAAAGGAGGAAAAAATCTAAAAGAATTATTGGGAGAAGTAGACAAATTGGGGATTTCAAATGGTTCAAAAAAAAATGGCTTTTTAGAAAGATTAAAAGTTTAATATAATAAAATATTAAAGAAGGAACTTTTTGATCCAACAAATTGAAGATAGAAAGTAAATATAGAAAGGTGGGGAAGTTGCAAAGTGAAGAAAATTCAAAGTGAAAAGGAAAGAAGAAGTGAATAATAAGTACTACTTTCTCGCTTTTGCCACTTTAAAAGCTGTGTACGCGTATCTCTTGCTTGTTTATACTTTCTACACATTCATATGCTCAAAATTGGTAAAGACTTGCGACACAGAAATAATGAAAAATCAACATTATTTGTGGATATGTGTTAAATGAATTTTCCTACTGGTCCGTTCCATCTACTCGATTTATAGGTTGAGTCATCAGAAAGAGTAATTCTAAGTCTAGCTTAGACTCTTGACTTACTTTTACGACTATATTTTTAATTTAATTCCATCGTTTAGATAACAAAAAAGAAAGCTATAAAGTAAACTTTTTGTGATTTGAAAATGAAAAGTTGTATGTAGAAGCATGGCTTTAAGCCTTTAACAAACATTTCTTGCTATATGATCAACTTTTCAGAATTCAACATTTCATCCGTGATATATACTAGAAGCACAAATTTAAAATAAAGAACAGGGATTATGTATGTTAACATGGTTCTAAAACAGGTAACTGAGTTCATGAGATGTCCAAGAGTCCATGGCAATTCAATTCACATGATATATCACATATAGTTACACCTTTTAAGAACAGTTATTAGGCGGAAGTAATAAAAGTAATATCACAAAGTTTATCAAAAATGGTTTCGCTAGACTACAAAACAAAGTCTGGTTTTCGATAGGTTTATAAAATGTTTATGGTCTTTGGTTAAGAATTCTTCAAGTTAGAAAACAAAAGAATTAATCGTAGGATTCATAGAACTAAACTTTCGAAATGTGGACCATTACATAAAAGCCTACGATACTGTTAGTCTTCTAGCTAGTAGTATAAAAGTTTAGGATCTCCAATAAAAACTGAGTAATACGATTTGGTAAGGAGGTAAAAACAAACAAAAAAAGTCGTAAAAAGAATAAAATAAAAAGGAGCCGTACAAAGTCAATACGCGGTTTAAACGTAGACGTGATAGTTATATGCGTTTACTTGATCCAAATAAAATCTGAACTAACTTTCAGTGGCTACCAATTTTAATTAAACGTTGACTACTTTTACTTTCTTTAAAAGTGTCAACCAAAAAAACTGAATTAAAAGGTCATATACCACAGACTCAGTACTAAATCGAACATATGAGCTAGTTACTCTTATCATTTTAAATTTGCTGATATAACACATTTTATCAGCAAATAGTTTTTTTTTTGACAAAATTTCTGTCAAAATATAAATAATTTCAGGATATTTAAAACTGTGGTTAAAGTGCGAAAATCATACGTTTGATTTGCTTAGATATATTAGTTCAATACTAGGATCAAGGTTTTGCTAGCATTTTACTAAACCGGTAATAATGACAACTAGTTAATGACACCAATAACTTTATATTCCTGACTAAAAAGATCAGAACATCAAACTTATGTGCTTTTTCCACACCAAACCTAAAGTTTGATGTTTTGGCCTCTCTAGCTATAAATATAAAGAAATTAAAAAGAAAAAACCTGTAATCATCACACAATGTCACTAGTACTTGCATCAGAAATTCTCACTCGTGAAAGTTACTTACTACCTAATCCCTAATTCACAATTGCATATATTTTAATTGCATACGTGCGCGCACCTCAGATTAAAATTTAATATTACAATTATATAAACTAATGAGATTTATAAAGATATATGTCATCTACGCAGTGCATAAAAATATGTGATCAAATAAACGTGTTTCACTCTTTAGACATGAGTTTCCCTACTGTTAACCTAAAGTCGTGTACGTATTCAGATTCATTAAAATCAAACAATCGTATTCAAACTGGGTTACGCTAAGTATACGTCAATTCTGTATACTATAGTCACTTCTCTACATAAAATAATCTTATCATGATAAACTTCATAAGTTAGTGATGGATATCTACTTGTTGGTAAGCGTTGTTAATAAACGAAAAATATATCTACTTTTTGGTAAGCTTATAAATTAATCAAGAAAACACTTTAATTAATTAATTAAAATACCTTAAAGGCCACAAAAATCATGATGTTCCCTTTTGGTAACGCATGCTCGCTCTTCCCTTTCCCTTTACGCATTTTCTTCTCCTCGATATATACCTATTATTTGTTCTTTTTTATTTTGGTAATTCTATTTTTCATTTGTATTAGTATTATAATGTTATCTTTTTTTATTTGCAAAGTTTTGCGAATTCAACTTTTTTTCCTTTGTTTGCTGCTTTTCTCTTTTATTTATCCTCCGTCGTTTAAATCTGAAGGCTGACGATTTAACTTAGCTAGAATTGAGCAACTAACCGAAGAAAACGAATTACCGTAAGCGCAGTCCCCATTAGTAGTCTCCGTAAATTCATAAGAAAAAGCATGTACAGAGTACGTGGTGGTTCATATTTTCTTTTATTGTAAGCTAAGGTGTTCAAATTTAAATGTTAAGTGACAGAAGATGAGATTTTGGTGGTGTGGGTTAAAAAGGCCAACGCGTGATATTGCTTCTTCGACAATCACCTTTTTCCTAATTATTCGCATCGATTTTTAAGTTCACTTTATCTTTCTCGGTTCATTACAATGTGAAAAGGCTTTTTGCCTCCAACAGATTTTATCTATCTAAACAAGAACAGAAAAAAGTCAAACAGACCTTTTATGCACGCTATAACTTTGAAAACATGATCCCTTTATATTTTCTGGAATTTTCATGCGTGTGCATATATTTTATTGCATGAAACTTGTTTTTAAAAAAATTTGTTAAAGGGTTTGCTACATGCATGAAACTTGTTACGTACATGTTAAATTAGTTGCATTGGCTCTTTTTACAAGATTTAAAATTCTAAAATATTTGTCTCAGTTAGAAGGAAAAACACGTTCAAAGAAAATAGCGTTGCATATGATTACAGAATACACAACTACAATATAAACATTATACCAGAAAAAAAAATAATAATCTTGCTTTTCACACACGAGTTCTACTTTTGTTCTTGACGTCAAAAACGTTGTCGGTGCGCATTGTGAAGATAAAGAAAATGGATTGATCAAAAAGATGAAACTTTTTTCTTAGGACTTTCTTACTTTCTCACAAAGTCTAAATGATACTAGATGAATGGAAGAATGATATGATGAGAAAGGAAAATAAAGTAAAAAAGTAATAATCATTGTTTCTTATTTTAACTACTTTACTTACACATGCACTTGTGTAATGTGTTTACACATTTTGAGCACCATCGTGTCATCTTCTAGGTCAAGCTTTTACCCAACACAACTAATCACTCAAAACAAAAGTGTTCTTTTCATTGCTCACACCACCTCTTTCATTTCTTTCTCTCTCTTATTATTTTAGTTTATCAAGCAAGTCAATATCCGAACGTTATAGATTGGAAATTTTGTTCAAATGATTAAGATATATAAACAATTATTAACCGGTTCCGGTATTACGTCGGCTTTTGAAAATAATATAATGCGATAAATAGTTAAACGATTCTTGTTCTCAATGATTTTTTTGTTTATTAACAAAGGAATTTCTTAATCATACTATTGGGATCCAAATTCTTTCTTCAGTTCCGATAAATAAGTATTTACTCTCTCTATTTCATACTCTCTGTTTCAAATTAGTTGTTGTTTTGTGTAAATGTATATGCAATTATTTGAATGTATCTCAATGTATTTTGAGTTTAATACATTTAGACAATTGCATATACATTTTTTCAAAACGACAACTAATTTAAAATAGAGAGAATATTGAGTGTTATTTTAGGTTTTTTTCACACATATTAAGAAAATATTAATTTTTTTTTCTGTTTTATCCCTGCATAATTAATACTAATACATAATATTATTTGATTTTGTCAATTATTGAGCTAAGAGAATATGGATAAATCTGGAAAATAGAATAAAATTTTGCATTGAAAAATGTAAAGCGACATTTATAATAAAACAAAAATTAAACTCTAAAAACAATATGTAATATGAAACGGAGGAAGTATTTTTTAGTAGATTTTACCATTTAAATAAATGAACTATGTATTCTATGTTTTCGAGATGTAAATATTTTTATGTTCTGAAATATTTTTAAATTTATATCCAGTAAGCGAACACGAAAATAAAATACGAAAAGAATCATAGTCATATTTACGTAAGAAAGTTCGATATCTTGGACATTTTTCCAAATAAGATATTTTTTTGATAAAGAAAAAGATTGTCTAAGATTGTAGGTCATGCATGATTTAAAATTTCAAACAAAAACGGTTGATTCGTTTGACATTCGAGTCTGGTTAGCTAAATCTTAATGTTAACTGGATTACCAATGCGTCTGCAGCATATTGGACAGATATACTGATGGAGACAATAGCAAATTAAATTATACTTTACGCTTTAAAATGCCAAATTTTCTTTTAGTTCATTATTTTTCTTCGCGTAGACAATGAGAAAGGGATAGTTCTCATATTATGCCAATTTGGGATATATAAAAAAAAAAAAAAAAAAAAACGAAATGAAATCAAGCAAAAAAAGATGAATATTGGCTCCTTTCCTTTCACATTATAATAACGTGTCTTCCATTGACCTATTTGATTTTATTTTTATTTTTCTGTCACTTAACCATAAAATTATAATTTTCAAGCCTTCAGATTCCATCAAACATCATTTCAGTTTTGCGTACGGTCGTCATATGCATATATATACTGATATACATATTCTTTCTAGATTATTGATCTCATCCACTGCGATGAATCAATAAGGCGGAGATATATACGTATTATAGTATGAAATTAGTAATTGACTTTTGAAGGTTATAATTATTGATGACTTGAACGCGGTAACCATTATTCCCAAAAGCCACACACATGTGTCATCAGTGTTCTCCACTCGTAAAAAAGCAGCTTGCGTTGATAATCCGTCGGTTATGCAAGTGACGCACAAGTGATAAAATCTTCTTTTAATTATAAAAAAACTGCATATACGTTTCATTTGCAACAAAGAACGTATAAAATAAAGAGAAATACCCTAGAAACTATGTCCATTTTTGTTTCCATCTGCATTTCCTCTTTTAACAGAAACAAAACATATGTGATCGTCCAACCTAACATTTTTTTATCTCGAATTCGGAATTTCGGATTCAACGGAAGCAGTCTCATTATACTATAATGCTCTTGATGCTATCTCATCTTATGAACTTTCTAGAAGTTAGTTTGGTTTCGTTAATGGGTTGCTCTGAAAAGAGAAAGTCGGAATCAAAGGAGGCAACGTTGTTCGCATCATGAAGTAGTGGAGAAGTCTTAGTTTTCTTCTGTCCACTACAAAACCCTAATTTTAATACTTTCCCCATTGTCACATATACACTTTTTGTAATAACCATAATTTTGAAACATTTCATACACTTCAGATCATATAGACCGCGTTAAAAATAGAAGATATGCGCATATTATTAAGAGACCCACACACCTCATTTGCTTTTTTGGTTTTTACTTAATTTTATTGGAAGTATATGTATATATGTACATTCATGTAGAAATACACTTATATATGGTGGAAAAGGTTCCGACTTTTTGTGTGGTCAATTGTCACTCGCAAAGAGCAAGTCGACCAGAAAAAAAATTATATATCGAGATTTTCGTTACATAATTTTTTTTTTTTGAGAAAAGAGATTTTCATTACATTTGATTTAAATTATTTATTTTTACAAAAAAAATTAAACTGATGAAATCGTTTAATTTCTCATCTTCGTATAATGTTCCACTGGTAGTTCTCGCGTTTTATTTCATTGTTAAATGCTAATACAAAAGTCAATTGGCGTCATATATAATGCAATTCAAATGCACATACGATACGACCAACTTTTTTGCCACTACATATGACCCATTTAAAGTAAGTATGCTTTTCATATGCATTCATGTAATGAGCATCTAACATAAAAAAAAAACAGTTTGCATTTTTCTTAATATATGCTAGATACAGTCTGGGATTCGCAAATTAATGGGAATGAATAAATAAATAATAATGCAGAAAATGAAATAAATGCTAAGTGTGTGTTTGATTTGTTTGGATCATATGGCTTTCCTTGATGCTTATCTTTAGGCACATTCATTACATGAAACAAAAATTAGGTGATTATTTATTCAGTGTCCAAGGGACCATCGCAACCACACACACACAAATCTATCCACAAAATTCTTATAATAAAAATTCCTTACAAAGTAATTTATCTAAAATTAACCACACAAAAAAAGTAACCAATTAAGAGATCATTGGAGTAAAAAAACAAAAGATACCAGGAGTGGCATATATAAGCACGTTAACGATATATATAAATAATAATGAAAAAATGAGCGTAACGTTTTTGTTCTTTTGGTCATCAATTCATGTGGGCTTATCTTCGGGGTGCAATACCATTGAATAACATACTACCAGTTAAAAACAGATAAAAAAATGTTGCTTCGACCATCAAATATCAAAGATGCACCTCCCGAAATTCCCGCCGGGCATGTAACACATTGGATTCATCCATTTAATTTCTGTAAAAGTATCATTATTACAAACTTTTATTACTATTGTTAGTCGGTCGTAACTTGTGTTCGTGAATGAGATTATATAATATTCGTATGCGTATTTTCTGCAAGTATCCCAACGCGACACATGCATATATTATAATATACACACACTTATCTCGATCAAAGACACACACACCACACATATGCATACTAGCAGGAATAGCAACAAAACAAAAATTTGAGTTAAAAAGAACAAAAAGGTTTGCCGTTATGAACTGCAGTGTACCTAGACAGATACGTTTTTTTGGTCTAGGCACATACGTACGTATTAAACTATTATTTATGGGGGTCATAATAATACACACAAGCCATGGTATTATTCGCATTCTATTTGCGACGAGGCGGTTTTGAGACCATAATTTTACGCATACGAAATATTTTAACGAATGAACCTCACATGTTTTGGATATTATATATGCATATACCTATATGGCTATATATAACATGTATGTATATTCGATGTGATTTATAAAATCCTTTTTCAAACTGCAAAATAACATTTCCCCTATACTAACTCAACTGAATGACGCCAAAAACCCCGATTGGATTAGTTCTTTAAGAAGAGTTTTAAGTGGTTAGACACTTTGACCTACGTCGACACAATTTAATTTGTCTTTTTTTTTCCTTTTTTCGCTAATACAGTGTATGTAGACACAATTTAATTTGTCGGACAGATGTGAAAACAGTGTACGTTATAAACTTATAATCAAGTTACAGAAATAAATTTGGTCATCATTAATTGACAGAAAATTTGGTTTATTCCATCCAACAAAGTATTATGAGTATCATTAATCATCTAAAAAACTCGTGCGTCGACACACAGTACATAAAAGTGATCATAAGAGAAATCAGCTTATTAACTGGATTGATTTTGTTAGCCTTTTGTTTTACATGGATAGACGAAAAACTTGATAACACAGTCATGCACTATTAATTAGGCTAAACGATTCCCTGGAGGAAAGTAATGATAATACATATTCTAATGACGTTCTCAGTCCTCTGTTCAGAAATAGATACGTGATGTAAACGGTTCAAATAACACACGTAAATGATACTTATGATATTAATTGGAAGTTGGAAATCGACATGGTCTGTCTCTTATATGATTATCTTCCATTTTTTTAAAAAAATCAATGAATTCCATCAGCCACACCCAAATTTTCCTTCTTTTGTTAAGTCACAACCAAATTTAATACAACTCAACTATACCGACAACGAAGTATTTCCTTTCATTATTATTTTTTGGACCATAGTCTACAATTATTAAAACAAGTCTTGCATGAATCCATAAATGAAAGAATCTCTTTCGCCAACAAAGCAACAATACATACATAAAGTAAATCTCTAACTTATATGAATTGGAAAACAATATTCATCCACTAGACAACTAACAAATTCAAGAATCGATCAATGCATAACTTACAAGACAAGAAAGAGAACAATCTCTATTCTTCGTAAAAATAATTTCACATTACGCCAGTCCACATCAATGGCTGAGACAAAAACTCGATCCAAATTGCTAATGAATTAAAGTTGCTTCGTACAAACCCAAGTCCACGTGTCCTCCTCATGCTTCACCGTCTCGTCCGGTATGGGCTTCGAATCGATATCTGTCGCAGTCTTGATCACAACATGCTGCGTATAGAGACCACTCAAATTGATTGAACAAGAAAAATCAAAAGAAACCAAACTCATAAACCTCTCATCCAACTGTCTTAACTCTTAATCATATACCTTAATTTGTGTCCTGTTATATGTATAAGTGACGTGGACATTCCCGTCGAGGGACTGTATAACAGCTGGATACGAAAACTCCATCCCCGGAGAGTCCTCCAACGTCAAAACATCGGTCCAAACATCACCGTCGTCGAGTGAAACTCCTACTTTGAGCACACCTCTCGAGTCTGTGTTGTAAGCAAGCACTAGCCTACCATCTTTTAGCTTCACTCCATCAATACCTGTCGATAGTTTTTATATATATTCAACGTATAAACTAAAGCCAAAGACTATATTGTGTGATGTTGTGTATTGCTTCGGTCACAAGAAAGAAAACCTGAATTAGGGTTTGGGAGAACTGTTGTTGTTGCAAAACTCCAATTCTCACCGCCATCGGAAGATTCAGAGATACAGATTCTGTCAATGCCGGCGAATGATCTGAGTAAAACACGTAATGTCCCAGCTTCGGTTTGGTATGGAACTGGTTGGATCACGCTAAGACTCTTCCCTTTACAGTATATTGGGCCTTTCTTTTTCCATGACCTACCCGCGTCTGAAGTGACCTGTTCACACACATTTAAGATTAAAATCAGTTGGATATAGAAGAAACTGATTTTTTGTTTTTTTTTGAAAGAAACCTCCATCCAAGCTCCCCAAGAATTCCAACTTTCAACAGATGATCCACAAAGGAGAGTCCCATCTTCTAGCAAAATAGGCTACAGAAGAACAAAACAAGGAAAAAAGCTAACTCTGTAAGCAATTACAAAAAAAATATTTAATAACCTTTTGAGTCATAAATTATGCATAACACAAGTATTTAAGAACCTTGTTTTTGATGGGTCCGAGAATCCCTGGAGGAAGCTGTTCTCTGTTAGTCCAAGTTTTACCTTTATCATATGATCGTTTCATGCAACCGCTCCATCTAAGCTTTGCATGCACCAAAAAAAAACTAGACAGATCAGAGAAATGATAAAAAAGCAAAACAGAGTTCCTCTGCTGAATTGAGAGACGTTTACTTTTGAACCTCCTGGCCGATTTTGTAGAACAATAAGAGCTCTTGAGATGGAAGTTTGAACAAGACAGGGTTCCACATTGGAACTCCTGCCTCTTCATCAACGATAACCGGTGAATTCCATTGACAATCCTAGGAATTCCGATTAATTGTGTTAGGCATTAATGCATTATGATCATAGAGACTCTTAAACTATTGAAGAGCCTATCTACCTTGAAATGCTGCAACCATATTTTGACATCAGGTGCTCCTTCCCTGCTGCCTCCGAAATACGCAGCCAAAAATTGATCTTTCTCAACCTTTTTTTTCACAAATATTTACAAAACAAAACCCTCTAAGTTTAGGCCAAATCTTCACTAAAAACTACTAAAGTGCTAAGCAAGAAGACTTGTTGTGGTGGTCTTAACCTCGACGATGGTAGAGGCATGACAGCTCTTGAAGGGAGCTGAATCAGCTGGGAATGTGAAAGTCTCTGACACCACTTTGAAATCTGTTTCTGACATCTGAAACTCACCATGGCACACAACAACTATAAAGGTCATTTTGTAGAACAGAGTCGTAAGAAGTTTTTGCTTAAAACCAGATGATTTAGGCCAAGAATTAACTGTTCTTGCTTCCATGTCGATTAACTGGAAAATAATTGTGAAGTATCAACAAATCTTGGTCTAAAATTTTGGTTAAACTCCATAGAAATCGATCTCAGATATACACATATCACATCACAAGAAAATCTAGCAAGATCAATTTATAAGGTAACTACGCATTGTTCTGATCAATACAAGATCATTGTTATCTACAAAGAATGAAGTCAAATTTCAGAAACATGAATCACATCCAAGTTTCTCCAAATCAGGTTCCAAGAAAAGAAAGTCAATGGGAATCGGAGTTGCAAGCGTCCAGAATCTCCAGATAGAAAAGGAGATATTACCTCAAAAGCTTCAGACTTTCAGTTTCAGTTGACTTTGAGTCTTACTCTTCGTCGGTGGTGTCACTGGTGTGTGCTGGTGACAGTGACAGATCCGCCATTTAACATTCCTTGCAATTGCAAATTATTTTTACATGGGCCTGTATTAGCCCATTACCAAAAAAAATGGGCCCATATAAGCAAAATGGAAAAGTTGATATTACCAGTTCACAAAACAATTTTGGTGGGAAATGGCAGCAATGGTGGTTAACGTGGAGAGAAAGGTATTGCATTTATCCTGAAAAAAAGCTCAACGGTCGAAGTAAACCAAACCAAAACAAAACAAAAAAAACAGAACAATGTCTCTCCTTCCCTTTCCTCTCGGATCTGTTTCAATTTTTTGACGTTTTTCTTCTTCTTCCGCTAACTAATTTCTGGTTTTATCTCTCCAGATTCAAGCTTCGTAGACGTTAAAAAAAAAAAAAAACTCAGATTGATTAGATTCAAAAGTTTCCATCTTTTTAGGGTTTCCTTTACAGAGAGAGAGATGGAGTCGCCGTCGTCGACTGGAGATTCATTGACGGCGAGGATGATTCCACGCCATTCATCGCTCGATTCGTTCGGAGCAATGAAAGTCTACCAATTGGTTAATCTCGCGAGCATAAGAGTCTCTAAGTCAGAGCTACGTCAAAGAGTTATGCTTCCAAAATATCTCCGACTCGCAATCCGCGACTGCATCCTCTGTAAAGACGTTTCCTCAGCCGTCGCTTCCACCTCCGTAGCACCACCTTCAGACAAATATCTCTCGCCGGAAGTTCCTCTGATGGTCTTCGTTAATCCCAAAAGCGGTGGTCGTCAAGGTCCACTCATCAAAGAACGACTCCAAAACCTAATCAGCCAAGAACAGGTACACATTCTCTCTGATTCAATCACACAATTTAGGGAAAGAAATTGAATTTATAAATCTTAATTTTTTTTTTTCTTTCAGGTGTTTGATCTAACGGAAGTGAAGCCTAACGAGTTTATTCGATATGGATTGGGTTGCTTAGAGGCATTAGCATCACAAGGAGACGAATGTGCTAAAGATATTCGTGAAAAAATGAGAATTGTGGTACTTTGATTTTTTGTTTTGTTTTTGTTGATTGATCCATTTTCTAAAAAAAAATTGGAAATGTGTTTTTATTGCCACTGGTTTGATCATTGGTTACAGGTTGCAGGTGGAGATGGAACCGTTGGTTGGGTTTTAGGATGTCTTGGTGAGCTTAACTTACAAAACAGGCTACCTGTTCCTCCGGTTTCCATAATGCCACTCGGAACCGGAAATGATCTTTCAAGAAGTTTCGGATGGGTAAAAAAGATCTTATTGTATTTGTAACCTTAAACTTATGAAAAGCTTTGTTCTAATTAGGGTTGTGTTGGTCTCTTAGGGAGGTTCTTTCCCATTTGCGTGGAAGTCTGCGATAAAAAGAACACTTCATAGAGCTAGCATTGCTCCAATAAGCCCTCTAGATAGGTAAAACTAATACGTAATTAAAACCTGATATGAACAATCTGTTCTTGAGAGAGCTCTACTTAATGTTGAAATATTGATTGATGGCAGTTGGGATATTGTGATTACAATGCCTTCTGGTGAAATTGAGGATCCTCCTTATTCTCTTAAGACCAAACAAGAATGTTCCATTGACCAGGTTTTGATTTTCATTTGTACCCAAATAAAAAACACTCTTTTGTGATAAATTGATAGTTAGTGTTTAGATTATGGCTAGTTAATAATTTTTTTTTCTTTTTTTTCTAGAGTTTGAAGATAGAAGGAGAGTTGCCTCCATCAATGAATGGCTATGAAGGAGTCTTCTACAATTACTTTAGTATAGGTATGGATGCTCAAGTTGCTTACGGTTTTCACCATTTGCGCAATGAAAAGCCTTACCTTGCGAATGGCCCTATCGCCAATAAGGTAAATATATAATATACCAAATCTCTTGGGAGTTTGATTATTAAGAAAGAAAACTAACGTTTTGTTGTTTGCAGATTATATATTCGGGGTACGGTTGCTCTCAGGGTTGGTTCACGACGCATTGCACAAACGACCCGGGTTTAAGGTATTTTATTAACACAAAAACTAAATATTTTAACAAGTTACAACCTCAAAATGTTGTCTAGACCGATTTGTTATGTTTTGGGTTTCCAGGGGTCTTAAAAACATAATGACATTGCATATCAAAAAGCTAGACTCATCCGAGTGGGAGAAGGTACCAGTTCCCAAAAGGTATCAACAGATTGAAGACAAGAAAGAACCCAATATATTATCAATCTCTTAATTGGGTTTCTAGTTAAACTTGTGTTTTTATTGGTTTTATGGGGACAGTGTAAGAGCAGTTGTTGCATTGAATCTAAATAGCTATGGAAGTGGAAGAAACCCTTGGGGAAATCTCAAACAAGATTATCTTGAAAAAGTAAAACAACCCCATTTCTTCTCACTTCATCCTTGTAATTTGTATTTTTTATTTAACGTTTGCTTGACCTGTACGTAACAGAGAGGCTTTGTGGAGGCTCAAGCCGATGATGGGCTTCTTGAGATCTTTGGGCTAAAGCAAGGATGGCATGCTTCTTTCGTTATGGTTGAGCTCATCTCTGCTAAACACATTGCACAGGTACTTCTTTTTGGGTTATTAGAACGGAATTAACTTTTAAAATTATGTATAAGTTTTTACCAATCTTGCCATAACCGAGACGGATCGGATCGGATCGTATCCATAAAACATGTTATTTTTGCTTTATAAGCTAACAGTTAAATTAACGTTAATTAGTTTGGCTCTCAAGTCTAGACTTTACGTCTCCTCTCAAAAATTATATAGCACAGCTATATCGAGCTTACCTAGATCACATCGATATCGACGTATCATACTAGGGGTTGACAATATTTCCGTCAGTGTTTTTGTTTTATTATCAAATCAAATTCTCTTTCATATAGAAATGGATTTATGCGTTTGGCAAAACGCTAACGCAAAACAATTGGGTTTTTACGTGCAGGCGGCAGCGATACGACTAGAGATAAGAGGTAGCGAATGGAAAGATGCGTTTATGCAAATGGATGGAGAGCCGTGGAAACAGCCTATGAACAAAGACTACTCTACCTTTGTTGACATCAAAAGAGTCCCTCACCAGTCTTTGGTCGTCAAAGGAGATTGTTAAATGATCTTTTTTGTATTATGTTAATTAATCTCTTCTTATCATGTATGCCATGTAACTGTGAATAACCACCACACATCCACAAAAATACATAATAAAAATAGTATATGCTTATCTACGATATAAAGACGACCAAATTGGCAAGGTTGGTTTCAGACAAGAAGTAACTAAGATTTTGGAGTGGAGGATGAGTAGACTGACACTCGTAGAAGAGCATATATAATTGGACCTATGAGTTATAACTTTCATAAAGTACTAATTGCCATTTGTACGTACGAACCACTTGCAATTTCTCAGTAGTGTCTTTTAGTACCAAATCCACTATAAATATTAGGGTTTTGAAAGTGGATCTAAACAAATAAGACGATGATAGAATCATTTATGGACAAACGTAAGGCATGAGACTAAAAACACATTTCGAGTCTTGTGTACAAAAGAGGCTACACAAAAATTCCTAAACTTAGTAACTGAATCTTGATGCTGCAATTTGCAAAGTACCTTGTATGTCATAAGCCCATAGCTTTATATGAACACATTAGCATAACGTAACTAATACTCCTTCCGTTTCAAATTAGTTGTCGTTTTGGGAAAAATGTATCTACAATTATTTGGATGTATCTACAATGCAAAACATGTCCAGATATGTCCAAATATTTACAGATACATTTTGCCAAAACGACAACTAATTTGAAACTGAGGGAGTAGTAAATTTCATATTATAATATCGAAGCCTTTACCAAAAAAACAAAATAATAATATCGAAGCACACTGAGTTGTTGAGGTTATTATCAAGGAAACAAAATCCGTATATTGGCTATTTCTACAAAGTTTTGAATGAAAATGTTAAAGTGAGCTTTGCTGGGACCAAACTAATAAAAAATGCTAAGACAATCACGGAATTTGCTAGTTAACGCTTTCGATTTCTACACGTCAATTGTATCTCGATCAATTTTCGTATAGAGAAAGTGACGACATATATATTGATAAACTGAAATAAATTACTAATAAAAAGCGAGAACCAAAATATAAACTTAGCTTTATATCGGCTTTGCCTTTTATTTTATTTGATTCTCTTTAATTACTTTTGTTTTATCCTCTTCTCTTTTAGAGTCCTTTAAAATTGTGTGTCGAATTATAGTGTTAAATTAACCGATTAGCAGAAGAAATATAGAAACACAACAATTTCTTATCATAAATGAATATAAAAAGAATAGATATTGAGAGTTTTGGAAGTAGTATTATAGTGTTCTCTTATAACATGTGGGGGTCAAAATTATATTATGATGTTTCACAAAGATTGAAATGAAATTATTAAGACGTGGGACTACGTTTCTTGTAAGAAAATAATCAAATTATTCATGTCTCCCATAATAATTGTACTTCCATCTCTCAAAAGAAGAACATGCTTTTTCATCTTTTTGTTTTCTATTAATAAACGTCATACTTTTACACATCTTCTGTTCTTTTCTTGAGAGCAGCAGCTCCCTAATTTTTTTTATTTTTTTTTGTTTCATTACCAATATTCTCTGCGCCAAAGTATTATCCACCCAAAGTATTAAACCCCAAAGTTATACAGTATGTACTATGATTATCGTACTTAAGCCAATACCATTAAATTGATTTTGAATCTCTGTATATTCCCAAGTTTTTTTATATTATCTACGCTTCAAACGTGTCTGTTTAATGATGGTTAGACACCCATATACATAGATTCATGCATAAACACAATACACTTTATAAACTCATGTTAGGGAATAGATCCGGACCACATAATTCTATACTAGTTTTAAATACTATGCTTATTTATATTCTGTTAATTATTTTTATATACTTAAGAATGCTCCAAATTACTGTTAATATAATTGGGGTAATGCACCTGTCGAATCCAAATCTATGGGTTTTATATTAGAGATGAACATATATATAATTAAATTAGTAATGAAAATGTGAGTTTAACTTAATCGCAATAGATTAATGAAAGAGTGGGATTTGGTTGGAATCTTTGTCAGAACATTGTTTGCTTACTATATAATTGTTCCATTCCTATATTCAATTATAAACCGTAAAAGATTACCAACACACCACACAGTGTTAGTGGATTCATTAAATATATTATAGATTTGTATCACTCATGATAAAATAAAATGAAAAGAATAATAATGTGGAAATCAGGACGTAACGTAAGTGATTGGAATAGACCCAAAAAAAAAACGCAAGTGACTGGAAATGATCGAATTATCGTTTGTCCTTGACGTGTACCTCTGAGTGGAAGCTGACGCTGAGAAATGGACCCCGTAAATTCAATTATTCATTCAAATATTTCCAACAAATCATTATTCTGTTACATATTTATTCATGCGAATAGTACGAATTTCGTAGACGACAAGAATAAACATAACAAATATTCCTCAGAAATTCTTTGCATTGCCAGGATACCTCGAGAAGATGAATGGCTTACCTTTGTTTTTTTAAAATAATTTGTATATATATAACGGGATATCTAGAACCAAAATAATAAAATTATTTAAAATAAATGGCTTACCTTTGTAAAATGTTGGATATTAGTACTCCATTTGAATCATCCGCAATAACAAACAAAAGTATTAATTACTTTGTCGAAAATGCAGAAAGTAGCTTGGAGATTTTCTCAAGCAAAGACAAAAATAAAGCTAGCCTAGCTAGGGATTGATCGAGTTTGGAGGATCAAATGTTTATTGTTGTTCACATGGTTTCGGTTGTGTGAAAGAAAGAGAGTGAACAGTTTGCGGCGAGTGATTTATTTTGGACAATTTTGATAAGAATTTGACATAAACATGCTTCAGATAGATAGAAAGTTTTAATACGAACAATAAAGATTTTACATTCTCTTTTTTTTTTAAGGACTTTTTTTCTTTTTTCTTTTTTCTTTTTACATTCTCCTAATGTTCTTACTATATGCTATTTCTTGTATTTTGGATACCGACGAATATAACTGTTTCAAACTTGGTTTCAATCATTAGAAAATAATAACTTTCGCCAATTTTTAGTCGAAAATGTATATTTTTTCGATGTCTTAAAACGAGTTGCGTAAAAGTTTGAAGGCTATCTTTCTACGAGTGAAACAAATTATTGGAAAAATATGAACAGAAAAAAGAGTGACTGGTGATATTTTCGATTGTTCTAATCGTTTTCTCAATGTGTTTGACTAAACAGGAAAAAGCAAATGATAGGAACTTGACCTAGTAAACATTGATCCAAATAGACTGTGCAAAAAATGTGGGGGACCCTTTAAGTTATCTCATTTGTATTTTTCAAGTTATATCTTTAGCATTGATGAGATCATTGAGGCCTCAGGGATATGGTTTGGTATGTTGTTTCCAGCTTTTTCCATTGGAAGTTTCCACTTTTCCTTTTTTATAATATATTTGTTCTTTGTATTCCTCTAATATTTACGTGAAAGTAAGATTTAAATGTTTGGTATGTTCTTATTAGAATGATGATTTTGGTGCATAGTGGAATTGTTTTTAATCATAAAATCGATAGTCACTTGTTAAAGCATATTATGGTGGTGGGTGGGCTACCGTCTGTTTTTTCATTAATATAGAATTTTATTCTACTTTCAGTTTCCAAAAGACTCATGTTTCCACGTGATATCTAAAAGAAATATCAGGAAACTAAACAGATTTGGATGATTATCACGATAAGTAAATACAGTTCTTTTTAAGTTAGATTTTCAATTCAAGTTTTTTCACGTATTACAATCATAATAAATGAAGAAAATAATTTTAATTATATTCTCGAACTCAAAGTAAGAAAAAGTAAACCAACATGTATTTTGAGTTGTTTTAGGTAAGGTTCACTTTATTTGTTTGGCGTTAACGGTTATCACGTTTGCGGCTATCCCCTTCACGTTTGCATCGCTCGCCTAATTTTAGCGGTTTTAAAGGAACCGTTTTCGGTCAGTCTCTTGTCCTTATCGTAGTTCCCTTAATTGCCACTTAAACACTCTCTTCCACAGAGGGTTCTTTATTAATGATCTATCATCAATCATTAGTATTTTAATTCTTCTAATTAAGATTCATCAATTTCAGGAGTCAGGAGCCGTGTTTCATGTTTTACTTCCCCGTTGTAATTTAGGGGGAACAAAAAAAACTATGTAGTTTTTCAATCAAGTAGATGTTGATCTTAAGCTGCTTGTCAGTGAGACTATTAGAACATAACATAACTTAAGAAGATATTCTCATAAAGCCATGCAATAGTTTATTCGAGGGTATTTGAGTGGATTCGACACTATGTGAACGGTTGTTAATTATCTAAAACAGTGTTTTAAGTGTTACAATTAATGATTAGTTATACTGCAATTCAATTGTTTATCCTCAAAGTATGATTGAATCGAAGATATTTTCCGAAATCATCCACTGATTAAGCTTAAAAGTAGTAAGGAATACTAATTAAGAAATACACCACCTTAATTTGGGTCCCAACTGATCACCTAACTAACCAATCGCAAATTCATAGTTACACGTCTCGCTATTTGTATATATACAGATAACCTTATCAATACGCATGAACTTATAATCTACGTTTTTAGTTCTACAAGTATTTTCTGTTACGCATGAGAGAAGAGAGGGACATAACCTCATTTTCAAAGATTGATTGGTTGCGATTTGCGAATATGACTGTAAATTGTTGATGGAAAAAATTCTAAGTAAATATTTTAGAAGTGAGTTATTTTAGCTTTTGTAAGTGATTTTAGTCCTAATGTGATTGGTAAAATAGTTGGTAGTGGAAACTATAAATGATTTTAAACCCCTCTACAACCGCAAATGCCACAAAAAGTTTATTTGGTCAAATAACTCGATTAAGAGTGTTTTGCTGATACATTTATTTCTTTTTATAGGAAAACTTATTTGATCCCAAATGTTTGGAATTCATAGAAAATTATTTCGCTCATAAATTTATTTCTTTTTATAGGAAAACTTATTTGATCCTAAATGTTTGGTATTCGTAGAAAAATGATCTTAACTCGTAATAGTACTTATTTACAAATTTACGGTAGCTAACCTCATCTCAATTACTTTAGCAAACGGCACAAAATATACTATTATAGCATTATGTCATCACGTCACGACTCCATATGATCATTAATGATAATTGATAAACATAAACTTAATTTCCTTTATTTATATTTTTTTCTAACTCGCTCATTCCAAAATATGAAAACACTACAAGAAAATAATTAAATAATGAACCATGAAGAATCTCATACGGAAAATAATAAAATGAGTTATACGTCACACACAATCCATAACGTTAATTCGCTTGCTCTCTTCTATAAATCCCTTCGTCACACTTCTTCTCCTCTCACCAAAACATTTTCTTAAAAAAAAAAAACTTTTACATCTCTCTCTCTCTCTTTGTTTCCCTCAGTCTCAAAACAATGGAAGGAAGACAATATTACCCTCCGAGCGAACACGTCGACGGTAACAGAACAGCCATGGGAGGACCTCACTCGCCGTGGCATTCACCAGTTCCTTATCTCTTCGGTGGTTTAGCGGCGATGCTCGGTCTCATCGCTTTTGCTCTTCTAATCCTCGCTTGCTCTTACTGGCGTCTCTCCGGTTATCTCGACGGTGAGGAAAACCAGAGCAGAGAGAGAGATCTTGAAGCCGGAGATGTGAAACCAGAAAAGGAGATGAAGCATGTAGCTTTGCCGGAGAAGTTTTTGGTGATCATGGCTGGAGATGTGAAACCAACTTACTTGGCGACGCCGGCGGAGAAAAGCTGTACTTGTTCCCATGATGAAGATGAAGATGATGGTGGTGACGTGGAGGTTGGTGATCAGGTGGTGCGGCGGAGTACTGAAAGTAACGGTACGACAGCGACACATTGAAAGAAACAGAGGATTGTCTATTGTGAACCGTGTTCAAGAACCGTTTGCATCTGACCCGGTTGCGTCGGGTAATCGGGTCGGGTCAGAACTTTTAATGATATAGGAAAGGAATTGGGATTGGATTATTTGGAGGTGATCTGATTTACCCTCAGCTAGGTTTTTTTTTCAGTTGTAAGTCTTAATTCACCAGTTTTGTTCCATTTCTGGATCATGATGGCTAAATCCGGGAAAAAATGTAAATTACTGAGACTTTAAATGGAAAATTTGTGAAGATATTTCTGAAAATATTAACTATCTGAGACTTGGAATGGAAAATCCGTGATCATATTTCACCAAAAAATATGGTGAAAATTGGACTGTTGTGGACTTAAGGTAAGGTCCAGTTTCATGTTTTTTCATGGGATCAATGTGACAAGTGGTTCGAAAAAACAAAACACAAAAATTGTAGAGGAAGAGTCTTCAGGTAAGAGAATTGAAGGCCAAGGCACGTGCAGAAGATAGTCAGATTTTTATTCTCTTAGGTGTCTCTGCTCCGATGCGGCGAGATGAAGCAGTTTGTTAGCTTCAATCAATGAGCTTGTTGTCTAATTGGTATATATTTTTTTTAATACTAATAAATTGTAAGGAATATTTATAATTTAAAAAAAAAGACATTAACAGAGCTAGGTTTCTTCTTTACATATGCCATCTTATCTTGTAGGCGTAGCTAGGTTTACTTTGAAGCTATGCTTTCTTTAAATATGCATTTTCATTTCACGCTATTAAAAAAAGGAATCCCAGCCATAATAGTTAATGATCACTTATGTTCATAAATTTAAGTTTATGAATAACCGTCAAACTTCTGTTGCCAAATAGGGGTTTTTCTCTTTGTCAACGCCAAATAGAGGTTATACATTCATCTTTGTTGCATCTAAAAAAAAAAAAATATTTTGATCGAAACAGAGATTATTTATCAAAATTTTAAAACTACAAGTCTACAAGGATCACATCTCAAGCTATCGGTGGCTTGAAAGCGGGTACAACAAATTCTGAGCCCGATGTTGGGTATTGGGTCGTGAATAAAATCTGGCTAATATTGGGTTTTAATTGGGCCCATTGTAGCTATATTCACTCTGTTCCCTAATACAGATTTTGAGGTAAAGAGAAGACTGACCCAACCGTTGATAAAACCAGCATTAGATACAAATTTTCTATAGTCACAAGATCCTTTTACACGTGTGTGATGTGAACGGAGGTTAGTGTTGTGTAGTAGAAGACAAACAAAGCCAAGTAATCTTGGGTGTATAATTGCACAGGTCATTAAATGATTTAACGGCTTGTTTGTTGGTAGTACCTTTTGGTCCATTTCTGTTATTACCCTATAATTCGGTTTCTCTATGAGTATTAAATACTGTGTACCTAATGTCTTCTCGAAGTCTCACTCATTGTAAAAAGTTAAGCATATAACTTCCCTCTTTTGGATTGCCATCCATGGCTCACACTTCCTCAACCAACCCTTTGAAAACATTCATTTCATTTTTTTGCTACTTATTTCTAAAAATCATTGATCTTAAACTACCATTTAATCATTTTTCATTTCTTTATATGACTCATAAACAAAGACCAGCTGATAAAATAAGAAAGTAAAGGCCAAATTAAAAGAACAACAATGGCTTTGAGAGGAAGACAAAATCAAGAACATGAGATAAGGCCACTGAGAAATAGCAACAAGAAACATCTTTTTGTCCCTTTGGCCTTTGCTTACACCACAAATCATCCAACCACATTCACTTCAAAATTTCCATCATTGTTTCTAATATTAATCCCTATTTGTTGTTTATGTAAATAACTACATTTAAGGCATATGCTTATTTAGATAAGTAACCCTAACGGTGAAGTTTAAATCGAACTTTTTCTGAAGAAGCCGAAAATATTGGGGAAAAAATTGGAAATTTATAAACGGATAAGTAACTTGAAATTTTTTTACATCGAATTCAAACTCCGAACTAAGAACCACTAAAATAATTGACTTTTAACTCTAAATATTGATTCTTGAGTGACATTATGCCCAAAATAATATGTTGATAAGTTGATTATAATATCATTGGGCTTATTGCGCGTTATGCTTCTTCGTCAAGACTCATACACACAGCTAATGATTATCCCATGCAATGATCATCCCTTTTCCACACTCTTTATTAATCTCGAAACGTCTTTGTTCTTCTTACTCTATCTCCCAAAAAACAAAACAAAAACACTTGTCTTTTTTATTTCAAGTGTATAGGATCATTGAGTTCTAAAAATTTCCGAACTTATATTAGAGTGAGACAAAGGAACAAAAGGGCCAATACAAATGATATCTTCTTCAGAAGAAGGTAGTAACAAGATACTTGTGGCGATCTCGTTGGACCGAGATGAGAGCCAAGATGTTTTATCTTGGGCCATCAATGTTCTTGCTAAACCAAGTGACACCATCGTCGCTCTTCATCTTCTTGGTTAGTATCTACGTATCTAATTTCCTCTGTGGACTTTTCCGGAGGAGGTTAATCATTTAAATAATTGGGAAATCAAAAATGTTTTTTTTGAAGTTGGTGAAGAGCCGAGAAAGGTGCCGATGAAGAAGAAGAAGAGAACACAGATTCGTCGTGCCAAAGCTCATGTTATCTCCATGCTTGGAGAGTTCGCTTACACTTGCTGTAAGAGCCAAGTACGACCATTTTCTCCCTTTTTTTTTTTTTAATTTGGCGTAAGAATAAAGACTTTTAAACCGAATTATACCGGATTTTGGTAGCCTTAAACAAGAAAAAACGTTATGAACCAATCCCTGTGAGAGATAATTTGAATGCATTCAGCTTGAGCCTTACAAAAACAAAACCGAAATATCAATAGGTTATAATTTGTCCAAATCCAGAGTATTGATACTTCAAATATTCTGAATATATTTAAAATTAAGAACTTGTTTCGCACAACAAAAAATAATTTTTAATTAAAGAATGAATCATACCAAACCGATCAAAAGTCAAAACTATTAAAAAAAAAATTAATCGAGATTTCCAAAGAAATTAGTGGTAATGGTGATGCTTAGCCCATTATCATTTTGTGGATGTTGGCCCAAGAAATCCGTTATTTTTCTGCGAGGGAAAAGGTCGTTTTTTTCTCTCGCACGTGTAGTGTATATATGGGGCAACGCGGGAACGAAGAATAGCACGTGCACTAACAACTAACTGACGCCAAGCGCGCGCATTCTCAGTACCGTTGCCCGTTGGCCTCAGAACAGAGCTAACGCGCGTGATCTCAGCTCACAAATACACAAACATGATTATTTCTTAGTTACAAACCTGCCTCGAATTAATACTGTTATCACAATATGAGCAGTATTTGGTATATTCAAATTTCGTTTTCCCAACTTTATAGGTGAACTTGGAAGCAAAGGTAGGATTTAGCTCAAACATTGGAAGAGGACTAATTGATGAAGTCAAGTCGATTTCTGCTCACTACCTTGTTCTTTCCCGATCAACCACTCACGTCTTCAGGTAATAAACCGGACTTTTTCCGGTCCGGTTTATAAACCAATGATCCAATTCAGAATCCTTTTAGTAACTCTTTTCCTTCGTTTAGGATATGGAATGAGATCACAAGGTATGTCTCCGACTTTGCTCCATCAAGTTGCTCTATTGTTTTAGTCGGAAATCAAAGAAAACCGCATCAAGATAAAGATTGCTACTCTGACTCTACGATTTCTCGAGGTTATTAGATCCTAATTAATCTTCCGTTACTAATATTTACTCAGCTGACGCAAATACTAACAAATATGTATTTCTTAGACGTAAAAAGTGAGAAGTATTCGCCACGCAGCGTACTGAACATTCTGTCGAGAGATTCCGTTAGCTCATCAGGCGATGATGCTTCAAGTTTCAATGGTTCAATGGTCTCTTCTAGCTTCGCTTCGCCTTCAGACAAACCTAAACAAAAACCAATGTCTCCTTACAGATTCATATCTTCTCTTATCATGAACTCTCCTTTGAGGAAATGGAGAAGAAACGAGACTAAGAACAACCCTAAACCTCAACCTCTAATTCAATGCTTTACTTACAACGAGATCTCTAAAGCCACAAATGATTTTCATCAAGGTGAGCATATTAGAGAGATTAAAACATTAAAATTTTTGGTTCGTATAAAATGATCTAATCTAAGTTTTTGCGTTGAATTGTAGAGAACATAGTAGGCGTAGGAGGGTACTCTGAAGTGTACAGAGGAGATCTATGGGATGGAAGAAGAATCGCAGTGAAGAGATTAGCAAGAGAGAGTGGTGACATGGACAAAGAGAAAGAGTTTCTTATGGAGCTAGGCGTCATAAGTCACGTCTCTCATCCCAACACAGCTCTCCTCTTAGGTTGTTGTGTTGAAAGAGGTCTCTATCTTGTCTTCAGGTTCTCCGAGAATGGAAACTTGTACTCTGCCTTGCACGGTACTCTCTCTTCAGATGACTTTCATGTTGTTGTCATAATATAATTCTGTTCTACAAAACTATATATAGTGTTTAAACATTGAATTGGTTTTGTAAATACAGAGAAGGAGAGCGGTTCTCTAGATTGGCCTATACGTTACAAGATAGCGATTGGAGTTGCTCGAGGGCTTCATTATCTTCACAAACGCTGTAACCACCGGATCATTCACCGTGATATAAAATCTTCCAACGTTTTACTTGGACCTGATTTCGAACCGCAGGTGAGGTTTCTTGTCATGAAAGCAACTCAGGTCCGGTCTATATATGATATGTGTGTCAAATTAGATGTGTTTATTGTTGTGCAGATAACTGATTTTGGATTGGCGAAATGGCTGCCTAACAAATGGACTCACCATGCGGTTGTACCGGTTGAAGGAACGTTCGGTTATCTAGCACCAGAGTCTTTAATGCAAGGAACCGTAGACGAGAAAACCGACATCTATGCGTTTGGTATTCTCCTTCTAGAGATCATAAGCGGACGAAGACCGGTTAATCCTTCTCAGAAGCACATTCTTTTATGGGTATAAATTCTAGCTAACCAACTCAGATCAGATGAGTTAATTGATTCATATATTTTATTTTTATTTAAATTTATCTTATTTCATGCGTGGAATTTATATATTGTTATATTGATGGAAAAAATGAATGATTGTACAGGCGAAGCCGGCGTTGGAGACAGGTAACACAAGAGAGTTGGTTGATCCGAAGTTGCAAGATAAGTACGACGATCAACAGCTGAACAGGCTTGTCCTTACAGCTTCACACTGTGTTCAACAATCGCCTATATTACGACCAACCATGACTCAGGTTGGTTACATGAATTATTAACGTAATATCGTAATGACCCAGGTTGGTTACATGGTCCATAAACCGAATTCAAATGGATATGATAATTTTTGTGTGTATTGTATTGCTTATTTGAAGGTATTGGAGTTGCTCACAAATGGGAACGAGGCTGAGATTGCAAAGAGCTGGAGAATGCCTAGGGATATGACTAATGACGATGACAATAATGATGAATGGGATGACTATTCTATGATTTTCGGATATGATCATGTTCCTTTGGATTCTTCCTTTTAGTATCGACTAGATATTTTTTATAGCTTTTTTCGTTTAATTCTTTTGTATCTTTATGAGATCTTTAAGGGGGTTTCTTTATTATGTATCAACAAGATTCATAACTATATATAAATAATTTACTACTTATCAACTTTTAAACAAATAGTGTTTTTAACAAAAAACAAAGAAAACAAAGACTGTTTTAGTTTGCATCTTAGGAAGCAAACCTAATTTTATTTGAGACACAAAACTAAAACATATATTATTTACACTTTTGATAAAGAATTAAAACATACTTAATTTCTCCAACACTTATGGTTCCAACTTTTAAGAATTAAGAGTACTATAAACTCAATGAACAAAGTTGGCCAAAACGACCACTTACGGTTCCAACTTTTAAGATATAAGAGTAGTATAAACTCAATGAACAGAGTTAGCCAAAACGAGTATCAACATCTTTCTTTTAGATTAAGAAACGGTTATTGTATTACAAATGTTATGTCTCTGCGTGTGTGTATAGAATAAGATAAATGAATTTGTCGTTATCGAAACAAAACAAAATTCATAAAAAGAAAAGCAGTACCACTTTAATCCAATAAGGCTCCAAATAGTAACAGCGTATTGTATTGTACGGTTAAGTAAATTTAAAATGCAAAGTGGTTTAGTTTTGATAAATACGGATAAAATTTAACTACAGAACAAATGCGGTTAATATAAAATAAGCGGTACAAAATAATGTTTGATTGGTGAATAAAGTAAAAGCGGGGCGGAATATTAATTGTAAGTAAATAATTAAGTAATAATTTTATTTAAAAAATTAATACATATGTAAACTAAAATTATATTTTTATTAATAATGAAGAAACATTTTTATATGACAGATTTTAGGTTTTTTCAAAATTAACTGAATAGTTTTAAGAATTGAATCTATAAATATTTTGTAATAATTTTTCAACAACTTTCTTTAATAAAATGTCTGCTAAATATGATCTACATGTTCACTATTATACTTGTATAATACAAATATGTATTTTATATACATATATATTTACGTACATGATACATGTATCTTAGTAAGGATATAATAATATTTAAATGGTTTTGTTGTCAACTTTAGGTCTTGGAATCCACGTGTTAAAATGGTGAATTATTTGCTAAAGATATATCTATTTATAATATCTTTTTATTGTTTAAAAAATAAATATTTTTGGAGAAAAATATTTATCCAGTGCGTTTTTTGTGGACCGCTGGTCTTTTCCACGGTTAGATTCTAAAGTGCGGTTTGTTATCTGTTAGGCTATTTTTGCTGCTTCGAAATCCGTTCGCGGATTCCATTATTTTTTTTTGAAAACCGCAAATTGTTGTAAGAAAATTGTGATTCGTGTTTTAAAAGCGGTTTTGGTAAAACCACACTTGATTCCGCACCGTACTTGTTCCCATTCACAACCTAAGAAAAGAAAGCAATAGTATGGATCTAAATGGTGACAGTTTTTGAGTGTAATTTGTAATAGCATATAACTCAACAAGAAAATAAAGCAACAGTATGAATGTATATGGTGACAGTTTTTGGGTGGAATTTGTAATAACATATCTTTTTGATAAATAGAATTTGTATAACATATGTAATGATGGGAAATATCAATACAATAATTGAGATTAAATATTAATAATTTTGGTGTTGAAGCAAAAAAAAAAAATATAGAAGAAATAGGCTCTTTTCTGTGGTGAATTCTATTATCAGATAAATTCTTAACAAAATCAGCAATAAGATGTCAAAACAATCAAGCCATGGTATGTTACTATGTTAGTTCTTTTTGTTAGCTTTCTTCTTTCTGCATTTACAATGTTTATCAAGTGGAAGATGGGAACTGTTAGGATAGGGATTAAGGTGCAGAAGTGGACCACGAGACAAGCCCTTGGGCCAGTGATGCACGTGGTTAGGGTGTGGTCGGACCCTCCACTTGTCCCCTTTACGACACAGTCCATGTCGGACCCACCTTCAAGGAGCCAACAAACAATAGTATCTTTTTCTTCCTCCAAATTTATTGGTTTCAACTGTTAACAAGTTTTTTCCTTTTAAATGTGACACTGTGTCTCTTTATTGCCTCTTTTCATAACATTGGTGGGAGTTTACAAAATCTAAATATAGCTTGGTTTGACAAAAAAAAGAGGTTTCCAAAACTCACGAGTCATGATTATAAACTTTTTATTACTAGATCCTATGTAAAAATTTGATAAATGATGTATAAGAGATCAGAGAGTATTGTGTTACCAATTCTGTGATGTGGTTAAACAATGACGAAAAATATTTGAGTTTCTTAAGGACTTCGATGTAAATTCGTTAGAATCTTTTTATAGATTTGTAACACAATACTTTCTACTCGATACTTTTAAAGATTTAGATGTACATTCGTTGGAATCTCGTTAAGAATACCTAAGATATTCAGATGGCATTTTCAAAAGTAAGTAACCAGAGTTTTCAAACAGATCTAAGCTGAATTAACTTTAATAAATACTTATAAGAAGTTTAATTATAATATCCAAAATAGTTTGTTTCCACTTTCCATAGTTGTGTAGCAATCTTTGTGGCTCATTCAGTAAATCTTCATGCAATGTTATTTCTTTCATTTATCTCGTTTTTAACTCATGTCCAAAGTGGTTACAAGAGTCGACGATCCAAAATAGCTATAATGAAATATGCATTCACGCACATGTCTTTTGTATAATAACCTAGATCCTATCAAATTACCAATATGAGATTTTGAACATGTCTGCTCGAGATGATGGATGTTCCAATCTATCATGAACCGAATCTTATTTTATGATCGGTAAGTGTCCTACACGGGCCACAACATGTCTTATTTAGGACATTCTAGTTAGATCAACAAATTTGGGTTCTAATATACTATGTTGAGTTACATAGGATTTTACTCAAGCCAATTGACAATTAGGTCATATCTTACCATTTAAGATCTATACCCATTTCGGACGGTTGATCGATTCCAAAATTACTGAGATAGATAGCTAAAAATGTTCATCTGGAAGTGCTGAATTGGAAAAATATATAATATCCAAAAGAACATATATTTGAAGTGGTACAAAAACCAATGTATTTTGATAGCTACAGTATATGCGTTATCAACTGAGAAACGTATTAACAATATAATATTAAAATTAGTAAGACTAATAATCATATGATTAATAATCAATAGACAATGAGTTTGTTAGGATTCACCTAACGAGCTTAACCCAAGGTTTATTGGGGGAAAACCACCACTCTCACCCAATTTATTCGTGGCAACATCAAACTTTTAATTCTTTGTTTTTTGTTTAATAAATCAAAACTTTAGTTCTATGTATTGTCAGAACTTTTCTTTAATGCGCTATTACTAACGTTATTATGATTGTATGTATGTGGCCCCAAATCGAAGCATTCGTAGCCACTATTAGCAAATCTTAAGCTACCTTCAAAAAAATATCATACCTAAAGTGCCCTTTGCATCAGGGTCTCTAACCCCACTTGGACGGCATAGGTCTCATTCAACTATTGCAATCCATATTATTGATCATGGGTAATTACATTTTCACGAAACTTGGTATATATAGAGTTCATAAATGTGACTAGCTTCTTATAAACTTGTAAAGAATTAAAGAGTTCGTGTGAATCTGATGAGGGTGCATGAGTTTTAAAAGATTGATTTGCTCTTTCCCTAACTTATTTTATGATAAGATCATAAGTATACAAACATCTTAAACCTATTGCAAGGAAGCCAACACAATTTTACGACATGAACATTTTATCACTATATTATATACTAATTATTAGACTATTAGTTATCTAACAATAAAGCTTTCGTATAAACCCCTAAAATATATATAGCCTGGATTATTGATATAACAGTTATCAATAATCAGTTATCAATATTATACTAACTGAGCATCTATCTTTAAATCGTGAGTAGGTATGGTTGGATGAATAAACAAACAAAAAAACAAGGTTGCAAAATCACCGAAATCAGTAACAGAATTATTAGAATCAAAAACCTAGTCATTATTTGATTTTGAGACAAAATAAATCAGTAAACACCGATCACTTACGACAAAACATCATAGTTCCAATTGACTTTTGACTTTAATCACGTTCTTGCAGAGAGATAAAGATTGGCTCTACAGAAACCTAAAAGGCAAAGTTTATGAAGTTTCGGACAAAACCATTAACTGCATTCTTTCTACTTTTCCTCCGATTTCCGGAAAGATCTAACTTTTTCGCATATTACTCTATCGCTCTGCGAAAGTTCCAGATATATTGGAATCATAAAACAAATACTACAGATTACTCAACCGGGAGAAAAGAAATTGATATTTCAGCGACAGATTGGGTAGTCCGTTATACAAATTGGAGTATATATATACATAAATTACGTACGATAGTCATTTAAGAAAAAAACTCCCAAGTTGCTTCCGGTACATGAAATAAATGAATTGTCATTTTTAAAGATACACGTACCAGTCTTACTTGACCTAAAACTGTTTTTTTAATCATAAAGTAATAAGGATTTGAGCTACGTAAAACAATTAGCAAGCCAAACTCCACCTAATCTCCGTCACCAAGTATAGTGACAACATTAGCCCATAGATAAATTGTAATTACCAAATTATATGATTTTATAAGATTTTCTAAATGAAAATATTAAGCATTACATATATAGAAAGAAAGAAAAAGTTACAGCCATATAGTGGCAGTGAGAGAGAGAGTAAAAAACAGTAAACGGGTGTGAAAGCTGTAGGGAGGATAAGATTGTTTGTCTACGGTAAGACTCACTATAATTATAATACACCCACGGAAATCGACGGTGGACGATGGGAGTTTTTCAGGTGGTTTGGTTTAAACTTCCACCGTAGATTTGGAAATCAGAACGTTGGTACGACACCGTACTGTGCGGGTGAAGCGTACACGTGACTTAAGAAAACGTCGTCGTTTTCAGTCTCTGTTCGTTTCGCGAAACGGCCTTTGATCCTTGGCCGTGACTCTGCGTAGGCTTTTCTCGAAGCGTAACGGATCGTCTTCTCGAACTTCCTGTTCTTCCGCTTCTCTCTGTACCTCAGAACCCTAGCCTCTCTATCCATGGAGCTCGTTTGATCGCCGGTTGTCACCGTAGAACCGGTGATCGTGCTCCGGTTAAACGGAATTGAGATTTCCGAGACGGAGTTGTTCCCGTCCGGAACCACACCGTAATCGAGCGACGAAGTCGAAACCTGAAATTACAAAATGAAAGTCAAATTTTTGTCTTTTGTTTTAAATTTCAACAGTTTTGACGGAGGGGATTTACACTGTGGCAAGCTGATTGCGTTGTGTAGGTGAAAGCAGAGAGCTTTGATCTGCAGAAGTCTATGTCGAAGCAGTGATCGTTGTTAGTTATTGGAAGAGGCTCTGTTTTCGTCTGAACCGGAACGAGGCTGTCTGCTCCGGCGTTGTGATTGAAAGAGTTTGGGTACTCGAAATCGATGAGCCGGTCGAAATCGGAAAACATAAAGTCAGACGATTTCATTCCGGCGGTTTGCGTTTCGATTTCGATTTTCGCCGGTTCGTTGAAATCGTTAGGGAGGAGCCACGGGCACAAACCGAGATCGTCGGAGTTACCCATCACCGGAACGGCGGTTAAATCGACGGTGGTTGATGAACCGAGGATCCCGAACGTCGAAGCTGATAACTTGGGGACGGCGGTTTCGAAGAAAGACTCGACGGGGACGCGTTCATGGCGGCTAGCGAGTGGATTAGCTGAGTGGATATCGGAGTCGCAGGTGACGCAGAGAGCGGCGGCGTCGGCTTTGCAGGTTACGGCGGCGGGAGCTTGTTCGCAGACTTCACAGACCCATACGCGCTCGTGGCGCGTGAAGGAGTGGATCCTTGTGTCGCAAGTGATGCATAAGAAAGCTGAGTCAACTCGGCAGAACACGGCGGCGGCTACCGATTTACAGGCGTCACAGGAACGCGCCGCCGCGCCCCACCCGCCGGAAATTGATTTGATGCTCTCTAATCCGAATCCCATTAACTTCTCTCTCTGCTATTTTTTTTTCTCTTTCTCAATTTAAGTCGCAAATCTTTCTTTGAAGATTTTGGAGCTAAAGTTTGAGAATGTGTGAGAGTTGGGTATTTGATTTGCTTGGATGATCTGTCATGTCCAGTCAGACAGAGAAGACACAGTATGTCTTAACGAATTGTTATGTGACACGTGTAATAACTACATCCACATAAAATACGTTATAAAAATCGAATTACGGTATGGGTTTTTTTATTATTAATTATATGTTTCCTTACGCATGGAGATACATGTTTCGTAGAAAATAAAATTAGGCTGACAAGAAACCAGCTAAAATAAATAAATAAATTAGGCTGGATATCGTAATTCATTTTGTCCTTTAAACATCTTATTTTCTGCTAACCCCAAGTTAATTTTGTACGATATTTTGAGTGGATTTCATCTACTTTGTAATAGATTATTTGTTTTTTCTTTCTGTTATTGTTGTTTTCGTTATAATAAATGAACATAAACTTTATGTCTTTTTAGCACATAATTTCTTCTACGGACCGGTATTAGCTTATTTTTCAAACATGATTTCGAATTTTGTAACAATGACTCAAATTCTTATCACCAAATATATATAACATGAAGATTATTCTAGTTGACAAGTAGTAAAGAAAAGATATAACTTGGTAGATACCAACGAAATGGAATTATGGATGAAACAAAGACAGATTAAGTTGATTTTACTTATCGTCTCAAATGGTGAGTTATGGAATATATTTTTTTCTGATAGAAAGTCTTTTATCAAATTATATGTAAAATTATCATATGATATTAGAAGTATGCAACTATGCATAGCTATTAAAACAAAGAGGAAATCATTTAACCATATGCCACAGTTTGAAGAGTAATCATTCTGTTATCTTTTTTTTTTTTTTTTTTTTTTGACATCGAAAATTCGGTTATCTAGGATTCTAGGTTTAACATTTTTCTTTTCTTTAAAAAAGCAATAATAAGTTGTATTGTATCGTATTCGGATAGGCCCGTAGGGGCCTTGGCATGAGGGATACTCTTGGGATTTTTAGATTTGAAAAAAGGGACAGCATGGTCGGCATGATTTAGCGTGTTCTTTATCTAGTTCGGCAATGAGCATGAAAGCAAAATTTGGTTTTTCTTTCTAATTTCAGTAACTTTGACTTTGACAAATCTTAATATGCATCTTTGCTTTAGATTTCGTTTAACGATTTTAGTAATGTTAATTCGGTAATATATTCTACTATTAATTAAGCAAGACCCAGTTTGTTTTTTCTTAATAACAAGACGCATTTTGCAGTGTATCATAAAGCAACTTGTTCGAGATTCGATTTTACAGGTTTAGGCCAAACATTAATTTTCTTCATATATAGATTATCTGATCAATTATCGAAATAATATCATACTTTAGATCTTAAAAAAAAACTTGACAACTAAGCTATTCCACGACTATACTAACTTTAGAAGATTTAAAAATTAAGATAGACTTCAACAATCTTACTTCAAATGTGTAGACTGTATACTTAAGCCAAAAAATGATGTATACATTTTAAAAATATGATCTCTTAAAACGGTTGCTATCGACAAAAAACGGTTGCCAAGTATATTATAAACTAGGGGGTGACCCGCACTTTGCACTGGTTGTATTAGTTTTATTGTTTTTTCGTAAAGTTAATATTTATTTCTATAATAATTTTCTATTATTATAACTAAATTATAATTTTTGTAGATCTATATATAATTATTTTTAAATGATTGTTCATATTCTTATTAAGTTACTATAGTAATGAATGATACTTATTATAAAAATTAAGATAGAAAAAAAACAAAAATATAATAAATAAATTGATATGCTGATGTAGCAAATTAGAGAATTTAGAAGCCATCAGAAGAGAGGAACATGAACTATATATATATAGATACCTATCGGTAATATATTGCTTAAATTTTTTATCTGACTGTTCAATTTATTTTTACAGCCAATGATTTCTATCTCAATACCCTAATATTTATTATACCTTCCGACACGAGACACACGCAAAAAGTTTCGCTGTTTTAGGCACTAAATGCACTGTAGTTTGTAGGCTGTATACATTACTCGATTTGACCCCATATCCAGATTCTATCGTCAATTTAAAATCGTACTAATGGAAGAAATTGTCTGTGTTCTCTCTTCCCTAAAACATTATCGGATGACTTCAAAGTTCATAGTTACTGATTTCTGACGTTGGTAAGAAGAAGATGCTACTCAAAAAGAAGACTAATACATATTTATATAGTTCACAATAATCGCATTTTAACTTATAACAACTTGGAACGGATTCCACCTCAATTCGAGAATGTAAACTTAAGACAGATTTATTAAAAAACGGTTTGGCATGAACGGTACGGAGATATTAGAATCAACGTAAGGATATGGACATTCTATGAAACAATTTATTTTGTAGTGAAATGTGTTATATATGTCGTCAGTGAGATGGGTCTCGTTTAAATTAACAAAAATTATCACTTCCGATCCGGTTTAGAAACCCGAACCGCGTCTTGGCATCAGAACCATTAACATCGAATAAGTTAATTTATCGTCCCTAATTAAACCCTTCAAAACGACGTCATCTTGCGTGTCAATTCATGCAGAAAACGTCATGCCTTGCGTCGGCCATAGACATAATCTATACTTCTACGTACACTACACGGCCATAGTCCATAGACATAATCTATACAGATTAACAGTGTACGTAATCCCAAGTAAGTGTGGTGTACTGTTTCTTTATACTTATAGGATATTATCTAAGCTTTTAACAATTCTTAACAAACTATAAGCAAATCGTACGTTGACAAAAGACAACTATATATGGTCTATGGTGTGCATGCCATGTGAGAAATTGAATTGCTAAAATAGAACGACAAACATTGTATATACTACTATATACCGTTCTTTTCAAACTGTTTTTTTCTCGTAAGCACTTAACAATGAAAGGGCCCTTTAATTTTGCTATGAATGATTGTTAGTTTTCAGTCTTTTGACTGTTGACTGTAGCGTGGTCCGGCCAAAATAAATGTTCCTAGCGGTCCTCACATATAACTATTAGTATTAAAAACAAAAGTGAGCTCATATATATAAACTTCGATATAGTCAGTTGTAAATTTTGTTGGTTACTGGTATAAGCTTTGGCTTTGTAGAGGAGTTAAATCATATATCATGTTCAATGATGGGAAAATTAGACTACTAATCAATACTGTTATATAGACACTAATATTACTATATTCATATTTGTACTGTACACTGAACGTTGACCTAATCATTAAGATCACGATTCATCCATAAACTTGCTATAATGAGACTCAGCGAAGCAACACTTTGAAAATTCAATCATTTAGAAAGGTGATACTTTCCCTCAAAGGAAAGTGGGTGATCTGATCTTTGCCAATTGCCAGTCTAGCAAATAATTCAATACACGTGTAAGCATCTTCTGATTTCAAGTAACACGTGTGAACGTTGGAATGTAATAGACTATTAGTATCAGTCAGATCATTACAATGATAATTAGTCAGAAACTTAAACTCAATAATCCAATAATATTTCATTTTCAATTGTTTATTCTTATCCTCCTTGATTTGTCTTCCTTCATCTTCGTTTGTCATTACACTAAACTATTGACGATATATATATATAGATCATGGACCACGTTCCAAAAGAATGGGCATGTAAACTTTTTAACTAGTATTAAAAAGATATTAAAATACTGAATGGTAAAACGTATAAAATATTTCACGTTACGCATATGCTTTTGTGTTAAAACATGAATGATCTCAGTCACGTGACAAAAATGAAAAGATCACCAAGTTGTATGCTGCAAGATGAGAGTGTGAACGCAGGTGAAAAAGAAAAATGTTTATAGTAAAATCATGTTATAGCCAATACACTTTTTATTAGGTGAAAGTGGAGCCAATAAACGATATTTCATAACAATCTATATGCAAGCTCCACTACTGTGATTGTGTGATATAGAGTCACATAAAATTCATCCCGCGTGAAAATGAAGTGGAGGTATGGTTAAAGAAAAAGATAAACGATTATGGGATTGGGACATATTAATGTTATTTATACAACATTATCATTTATATATCACGATGCGAGCTTTTCACGAGACTCAACTTTCGGCCACAACTCGACAAGAGAAAAGACTTACTACTTTTTGCCGACTCTTTTATAAAACAAAACCTAATTCGTCAATAACAAAGTATGAAAATTTTCTAGAAAGATCGACGGATATATGATATATCAATTATGTTCATCACTCATGTGACGACAACAAGACACGATTATTGTTATTTTGTACACGACGGTCGTCGCAAATTAGAAATGAAGTCTACCATAACTAGTTCATAGCAATTACGGATGTCTATTCCTTATTATTTTTCAACCTTGGTTGTATATGTTTCCAGGATTTTGTCAACAAAATATGTCAATTTGCGACTTTGTGCTCTTTCTGTTCTTAAACGAAGTACAAGTACTTGTTAAACTTTATAGTCAGATTCGGATGTTATACTATTCATAGAAACTTTACGTTGATTTTATAACAATTTTTTTTGTCAAAAGAGTTTATATCATTTTAAAAATCAACTGTTTCACATTCAGTTGGCATCTGGTGATTAAGGGAACTATAGTGTTTTAGATATATCTATCTCTTTTGTCAATATGACTGTTAATAATAAAATATATGGTTCTATCGATTCTTTTTTCTTTCAGACTCATTAGTGTAAATGGCTTTGGTAGCTCTACTGGTGACCAAAAGAAAATATAAACAAAAGAAAAAAAAACGAATATGAATTTATAGAATCTTCTTATTTTCACGAGATAAGATAACATTAAACTGCTTATTAGATAAATTGCTTATTGGTGTAGTGTTAGTATAAGCAAAAACTCATTCTCAAAGAATCAGTATCAAAGATGAAGAGATGGAACATTGCAACTGATCAGGCTTTTGGGCTTTTGTCACAAAAACTCTAAATTGAATTCAAGCAGTGCCCAAATAGTTTTTCTTATTTGATTTGTTGTAAGAGTGTGAAAGCACACATACTACATCACCTGAAACTAAATTAAAAACCAACCTCTCTAATCCATCTTTTTCAATATTTTATTTTTGTTTTCTCTCTTTTTGAGTTCTCAAACTTCTGAAAGACCAAAGAGAACTAAAAAGACGATCCTTCTAATAACATAATGAAGCCTTCTTCTTCTTCTTCTACATGGATGACTGGAAGATCATCTCAGCGAGCTCCTGCATAGTTTTGTTTTAAAAGACATCATTATGAGTTTTGTGTTTTAACTTATAACGAAACAAAACCAGAATCAGTGTTTTGTAGTAATTATAAGAAATAAACTTGTACCTGTTTAGCGGAAGGGACTTTAGGTTCACCAAACTCTTTAGCCTTCTTCTCAAGATACTCGAAATCAGCTTTTCCTTCTTCTATCTGCTTCCCAAGCTCAGAGTCCCAACTTGAATATCTCTTCTGTACCAATCCGCTTAGACTTCCCTCCTTTTAACCAACAATCACCACATACCAACACCATTTAATCAGTAAAGCTACGTTCTTTGATTCTTTTAAGAGAAATGGGAAACAAACTTAAACTAACCTCCAAGATTTTAACTGCATTTCTCAGTCCACGAGCCATTGTGTCCATTCCACTAATATGAGCAATGAACAAGTCTTCCACATCTGTACTCTCTCTCCGCCTGTTTAGTCAAAACATTATAAGCTTCTTTCTCAGGTAACAGCAGCAAAACATTTTGGAATCAAGAAACGTTTCTTACAGTTTGGCGTCGAAGTTGAACCCTCCTGGAGCAATCCCACCCTGTTTTCAGAACGAGTCAAGACATGAACATACGCTATTACGAGCTTCAATCTTAAATTACTACAGCGCGAGAGTGTGCATACATTTCTGATGACACTAGTCATAACCATGGTTGCTTCTCCAACATCTGTGAGAAACTGATCTGTGTCCCATCCTGTTGTGAGGCAAGGAGAAAACATTGTTCAATCAGTAATCTGGATAAGAAGCATTAATGATCAAGAGAGGTGGAATTTGTATATTACCAGTTTGAGCATCGCCAGTGTTTGCATCAATGTTGCCAAGTAAACCATTAAGTCTTGCAGTTTCAAGCTCGTGGTGACATGTGTGCCCGGAAAGCGTGGCGTGGTTACACTCAATGTTGAGTTTAAACTCGTCGATAAGTCCGTATTTCCTCAGGAAGTTAGCAGCAGTTGCAGCATCCCAATCATACTGGTGCTTGGTGGGTTCTTGAGGCTTAGGCTCGATCAAAAGGGTGCCTGGTGACATATAAAACTAATTATAATTCACGTAACAGCGATGGTTGAACAAGAAGAGGTAGAAGAAGAAGAGTTACCGTTGAATCCAATCTTCTTCTTGTAAGCAACAGCAGCTTCAAAGAACCTAGCAAGATGATCAAGCTCTCTTCCCATATCAGTGTTCAAGAGCGTCTGGTAACCTTCACGACCACCCCAGAACACATAGTTTTCACCGCCCAAGTAATGCGTCACTTCCATGGCCTTCTTCACCTGAGCAGCAGCGTAAGCATATACTGCAACCTCGGAGCTGGTTGCTCCTCCGTGCATGTAACGAGGATGCAAGAAAAGCTGAGCTGTTCCCCACAATGGCTTGATCTTGCTTCCCTGCAATACATTTGAAGAGAAAGAAGAAAACTTTACCTTATCACATCAAACTAAAGTAATGTGGCACCAAGATAGTGTTTCATTGATTAGGAGTCTCAGTAATGAAATGGCAAACAGATAATCACCTTTTGGAGTTCTTTGGCGAGTTCAATAACCTCATCCAAGTTATTGTTAGATTCCTGCAAGTAGGATTGAAACAAGTCAACATTGAGCTAACATGAGCAAAAAAAAAGTAATCAAAATGGTATAAGTGAACCATCATGGTGTATTCAGTGAAGCTTGAGTTACCTCAAGTGAATTGCCATCAGGGGCAATGTCTCTGTCATGGAAACACCACCAATCAACTCCAAGTTTCTTCAAGAACTCAAAGTTGGCTCTCACTGTTAGTTTCAGCATAAAACAACAATCAGGACCTCACTCACTCACTCACTAACTCTCAATATCACAAAAACAAAACCAAATCATTATTACTTACTTCTTCTCTTAGCCATAGACACAGAGTTGGTACCATCTTCCCAAGGCCAATACTTTGTAGCAGCACCAAATGGATCGCCTCCGGTCCCACGGAAAGTATGCCAAAACGCTACACTGAATCTAAACCAGTCCTGTTCCAAAAATTCAGGAGAACAAAAAAAAACATCTCTCAACATCTTTCTTCAAAATCCATAAAACACAATACGCTGCAAGAAAAACACAAAAGAAATTGCTTACAAACCTTCATTTTCTTGCCAAGAATCTCTTCTTCAGCGTTATACCACCTGTAAGCAAGTGGGTTTTTGGTTGAAGGTCCCTGAGAAATTAGTCAACAACCAATCAGTCAATCCTCAAATGCAACTACAAATTACCAATAGTTTTCAGATACTCATAGTCTGATTGTTAGTTGTTACCTCATACTTAATCTGGGGGATTCCAGGGAAGAAGTCACCTTTCCAGTCATCAGAATCACTACACTTTCCTCCCAAATCCGCAGGACATGTTGGTGGATCAGCAGACTGAACAACGAAATCATTTAATCTCAGATTTGTTATAATGATCGGAAGAAACAATAAAAAATCGAGCTTTTTGACAAAGTCTTACCACTAGAAATGACGCTGCGTTTAAGCAGAGGAGGAGTATAAAAAAGTCGACTTTCTTCATAGTTTTCAACAAAACCTGAACGATCATCAAAACAGAAAATCGAAAGCTCAAACCCAAAACCCAGTTCTAACTACAAAATCGGAATCAATGAATCGCTGGAGTGAGAAAGAAAACTAAAACTCACCTGTAAATTGTGCTATGGAAATACGAATAGCAGGAATCTATTGGAAAACTCTGTTTATGTAACCGAGAGAGAGAGAGAGCTAAGTGAAATTGGATTAAACAGATTTAGTAGAAGACTAGAAGGTGATTAAGAGTCGGATAATGATGTAACGTAATCCAGTTTGGTTTTTTCTGATTTCCAGTTTTGCCCTTAACATAAAATGAAATCGACGGTTGTGATATTATAGGTGAGTGGATTGAGATTAAAGTAATCGAATTATACAGTCTTTATCCGGAAATAACGTGGCGAGTATTACGTTCTGACTCAGCATTTCTATTTTTAGAGCAAATTTGAAGATAAGATACTCAAATAAGCTAACAAGCTTTTTTTTTTTTTTTTCTAACCGTGAGTGATCCTAAAGATTTTCTAGGCCCAAACACTAATTTTACAAGGCCCATAATAGTCCATCTATTCTTACAATTTAAGTCAGTTCAGATAGCCAAGAAGACTCAAACCCAGATAGCGGAAGTCACAGCTGTGACCCCTTTATCCCTGGGCCACGAGGCCTTAATTATAATAAGCATATAATGATAATTGTTGGAAAAGAAAAAAACATATAAAGACAAATATCTTTTGTATCCGTATATTACATGCAAATGTTAATCACTTTTCTTGAATTATTTCCCACAAAATTTTCGATTTTTTTGTTTTCCAATAGAAGAAGAACAAAATATTAGTAAGAAATCCGTGAAAAAAAAATGAAAACATTGATAATATCTCCAGCGAGTCCGTGACGCAACTGAACACAATAAATGAATTTTGATAATTAAATAAACACTCAGAAGAGAAAATAATATTGACATTTTTAAGTGCACATTAGTGGTAGTCAATACAAAAATGTTCAATTGCATTAGGCCATTAGTGGGTTGCAATACACGTAACAGAAGCCTAATGGTGTACAAGTGTAAACTCTAAAGATCTCAGCTTCTAAATTATACTCCAAATGGGCCCGTAGTTCAGAAGCCTTGATCTATTTCGAGCCCAGTTAGTGTTTTGCTTCTTCTGCTGCTCCATTTGTTGAGCGACTCTCTGCAGCGAGACGGAGCACTTTCCTTCTCAAAGCACTCATAATTGAGAGTATAAACTGTCTCTGTATCTTGTTAAAATTGTACCTAATTGCTTTCGACTCTGTTAGTCAAAGTAAGCAAAGGCAAGAAGATTCTGAGTATTCTTTTTTTTGTTACATGTTAGACAAAATTTAAATATATTTTAAATCTTCATGCTCATAGGAAGGATGTTGTGTTGTAACATATAAAGCCACAAACTAACACTATTATATGAGAATGAATACAGACTACAATTGATTATTTCAGTCTCATAGTAAGTTAGTTCATGATCGATGTTCTTCTGTATTTCAACAACAACAAAAATAACTAGTTCTTTGCTAAAGATAGTGATCAAATGTAGATTTGCATCAAATTGCATAACGCAAAGTTCGCCAAGACACAAGAAATTAATCGTTTAAATGCAAACAAAAAACCATAATATTCATATCAGACTGAGCCATTCACACAAAGGAATCAATCTCAGTCTACAAAAGTTCAGATCACTCTTTTCCATTGGATCCCTCTGCTTTCTCCTCCTTCTTCTTCTCTTCCAACTCGCGATACGCCTTGGCAATAGCTGCAGCCTCAGCAGCAGAAACCGGCTGCTCCGCATCTCGCAGCTTGTTCATGGCCTTAGCAATGACTTCAGCGTCACCTGCCAGAAGAGCTTCCTTTTCCACATGCAACTCGCTTAACAACTTGGCAATCATTTCAGCCTCGCCAGCGATAAGGGGCTCGTAGTAGTCAGGATTCTCATACAAACAAGTCCTGAACTTCATTCTCACCTCTCTGCACTTCGACGCGTCGCTCCCTTCTTCTTCTTCGGCTGCTTCGTCCGAACACTTGTCCAAAGCTATCCACGCTTCCTTGCACTCACCTCCCTTTATGTATGTGCAGAACCCGCACTCTCCGCTCTCTTCCTCTTCCTCTTCCTCTGTTTCTTTCGAATCTTCAATTAGGGTTTTTGACTCGCCCTCGACTCCCGCCGACGGCTCCACCTCTTTGCTCACAGGTTCTTCAATTAGGGTTTTGGATTCGTCGACGGCTAGCGGAGTAGCCGATGGCGACTCTCCCTGATTGGTCGATGGTTCCTCATCTGCGCTTTTGGGGATGTTTACAGAATTCGCACTTCCCATTGATGACGGAGAGATCAAACTCTTTGCTTGCTCAAAGCCCTAAAATCGCCGTCCGTCTCTACTCCAAAGAAATAATAAAGGACACACCTTTAATTTGCGTTTGCCAATTTCAATTTGATTTCTTCCATTTTTTTTTCTTTCCCTAAAATCAGCAAAAATATGCCAAATTCCAAAAATGGAAACTCTGAAACTCTATCCAATCCACCCATTTAACCAAATCATCAAATTTCAGTTTAGGAAATTTTTTGTTTAAGAGGCAAGATGCATCGCCGATTTGAATTGAATTCCCGCTCGTCCATACTTTGGGCCCATTAGTATAAATCTTCGCTTTGTTTCTCTCTCATTTTCACCAAGTTGGTTGGTTAATTATACTTATATCAAATTTTATAAAATATGGTACAATCGCATCCAAACAATATGATGATATCATTGATATGTGAAACAGTGTAACCGATGTTTGGATCCTCAAAGTCACGATAAAAATATCTCCGAAAACCGAATACAATCAAGGAACTCGAAAAGAGAGAGAAAATATCATCTTCCTAAACCGAATACACCAAGGAACTCGAAAATAAGATGCTCAAATGTTTGCTCGGAAAAAGCCTATCATTTACAAAATATGCCTCCGATTCTCAATCAAACATAATCAATGGTTCTTCCTTCTCTTTGCATGGTAAGATCTCTTCCAAAATTGGCTGTAAAATTTGCTTAATTAGGGTTTTCTAGCGACTATAAGCTCTGAAAATGGCGTGAGAAATTGATTGTTATAGGTGAGATTGAAAGTTCGAAATTGGTTTGTTTTCACTCGCAGATGACTTTGAAATTGACTTTGGTTGTAAATATAATGAAATTGATGATACTTTTGATGTTATGTTGCTTGATTTGTAGTGTTTTGATTCGATTTCTTAAGTAAATTTAATCTGAAAACTTAGTGATTGCTTTGTTCATTTTGTAACGTATTCTTCGATTCTTGTTCAAGCATTGAATTTTTTGCTTTTACTATGTTGTTGTAACTCTTTCTTTTTTTCACAAAGGAGGAAGCTGTTGTACGTGTTTTTGTTTCAAACTGCGTCTCTTTACAAGTGCAACATGGCTGGATGTGGAGCTTTAGTGGAGCGTTTGAGGTATGCTTCTCCTTCTTGTTCTCTCAAGTTTAGAAATCACAGTATATCAGATTATGTTTTCTATGTTGAACTTGATTGTGAAACTTTATTACACGTATTTAGACCTTACCATTTTATTCTCGTTGTGTTATATTGACTTGTTATTTTGTAGGTCTTTGTGGAAACTATGATTGCTATTATGTTGACAGGGGAAGAAACTGCTCGTCTTTGGGAGCAATTAGATAACACGTTTCTGCTGGAAATCTTGTTAAGTCTCATGTTAATTTAGAAGTTTTTGTTTCGTCATTGATTGGTATATTGTTCTTTCTTCTTTTCCAGATTTTCTATGGAGGAGAAGCTGTCATAAGAACGGAGGCAATGGGAACAAAGAATCCAGAGAGACGTCCATTCGAGTAAGTATTCTGATACGCAAAGACATTGATTGAGTTATTTTTATATTGGACATCTTTTTGGAGTTATTTTTGGAAATATCCAGAATTTCGATTGAATTTGTCTTTCTGTTTATGTTTTCCAAACTATATTTAAAATGTTTGTAAGTAAGTATGTCTCAAATTTCAATTTATCCAATGTATTTTATGTTTGTTTATAAACAAAATTAAAATTTACAAAAAAAAAAAAATCTTAAGCATCCCAACTAAGATTCTTAACAGAAATGCTTAACATACTTCTAATAATAAAATATATGATAACCATCTCCATTAAGCATCATGCATTGTGCATGCTCTCAGTCTCAACAGTAATCGGATCCAGAAGACGACATGCTCTCTCTCTCTTTGTTAGTTAAAAAATGTTTTGTGTTTTGTTTTCCGTGTGACTTTCAAAAGCAAAACTCATGCCTCTTTTTTATAGAGAAATCACAAACCCGTGAGTGTTCTTTAGAGACGTTGGCATGTGAGTGTTTATGAGCAACATAGCTGAGAAAAGAGTATGAATTTCTCAATACGCAGAAATGTATGGGCATATCAGAGAGTGCTCAACTAATAACAAATTGCTAAAAAAAAATCATTACCAAGGGTCCCAACAAATAAAAAATAAGATAAGAGAAATATTAAGTGATAAAAACATAACTAGATTTTTTATAAAATATTTTACCAAAATTTAGCATTAGTTTAGACATAGTTGAGCAAAAATCGAGCAAATATTTATCGTTAAACTAATTTAAGCAGCATAGTAGCTCTTATTCGGCGTAGGCGCACTAGGACTAGCTAGCTAGGACTTAGGGTTCCCCGGTGGTGGGCCACTGGCCCCTTACACGGCGCCGCCGCTGCTCCTGGAAGCACCATTCTCCTTCTTGAATCCCGTTGTAAATAAAGTTTGTATACATCATTTAAGAATTTATCGAATCCCGTTGTAAGTTTGACAGTCATGTATTAATTATTAACTTTTTCACGAGTCTACAATTTTCTGCTTTCTCTGTCTGTTTTTGGGCGAGGGTTCTCAACGCTTCGTTTTCAACATTATGGCATATAACAGCAACGCGGAGTTAGTTTGGTATTAAGGACAACCAAGATAATTTTGTGATGATAAATGAAGATCAGTTTGGGATAAGTCCTAAAAAAAGAGTTTTGCAGCCGGATAATGATAATGGACGGACAATTTTTTTAACACAGAAACATTGTTTTTTTTTGGTGCAAATGTGAAATAAACATACTTACTTTACTTGAGAATATCATTAATTTATTATTTTTAGAAAAACATAAGTATATTTTAACAAATTAATAACGTTAGACCAATCGACAAATATCTTGAAGTTCAGATCTTTAGAAATTTTGAAAACAAAATATCTTGACAATTTGTACTTTTTCCAATTTTGAATTGTTATTTTATTTTATTTTCCAAATCAATAAGGCCAAATGTAATCCCACTTGTTGACAGAAATCGTGCCAAAATGAAAAAAAACGGACAAGTTTTTTTTTCTAAAAAGCCGGCATATATATGATTGAGAAGATATTTATATTTTTTCCTTTCGTTTTAAACGTAAACGACTAAAACACTTAAAAAATACAATTACTTTGGCCAAATATGAAAATTTAATGAAGATAGAAAATAAAAGGATATCATCGAAAATTAGAGATTATCCGACATTGCTCTAAAACAAATAAAGAAAAAAGAGATTATCCGACCAATTGAGATTATTTTCTAAATATAAAGAAGGAAAATAAATAAAAAAGACTAAAATCAATAATGACAATCAGATCCACCTAAAGCTACCAGCTTGGGAACAGTGAAGATAATATATCACACACAAAAAAACGTTCTTTATAATCAGTTTGTTGAGAAGAGGAAGTTGATGACACATTCTCATTTCTCACCACGAGAGTCACGAGCTACGAGTCATTTCATTCACGACCCTATCGGTCAAAAAACAACATCACCAATAATAATATCTTTGATTATCACCTAAAAGTCAAGATTTTGATCCCACCAAGACAATCAATCTCTTTAATACAGTCTCTTTAGTTCAGTTAACTTCCAATTATAATCCGACCCTTCAAAGATCATAATCATCTTCTCTCCTTCTCTCTCTCTTTGTCTCTCTGTCTCTCTTTCTTTTTCTCTCTGTCTGTGAGATGGGTTTGTTTGGGACGAAGAAGATTGGCAAATACGAGATAGGAAGGACAATCGGAGAAGGGAATTTCGCAAAAGTGAAACTTGGTTACGACACGACCAATGGCACATACGTAGCTGTCAAAATCATAGACAAGGCTCTGGTTATCCAAAAAGGTCTAGAGTCTCAAGTCAAGAGCGAGATACGGACGATGAAGCTTCTTAACCATCCCAACATCGTACAGATTCATGAGGTTTGTGTCTTCCTCTGTTTCTCCTCGAACTTAAAATTTTAAACTTTTTCTTGTTCTTGATTCTTGAGAGTGAAATTTATTAAACTTCAGGTGATTGGGACAAAGACAAAGATCTGTATTGTGATGGAATACGTTGCAGGTGGTCAGCTTTCAGACAAACTTGGAAGACATAAGATGAAAGAATCCGATGCCAGAAAGCTTTTCCAACAATTGATTGATGCTGTTGATTATTGTCATAACAGAGGAGTTTATCACAGAGATCTTAAGGCAAGAGAGTAAAACTTTAACCTTTTAAATTCTCTGTTTTTTTCTGGTTAATTTTGTGATTAATCCTGATTTTGCTATTTGCAGCCACAAAACTTGCTATTAGATTCAAAGGGTAATCTCAAAGTTTCTGACTTTGGACTAAGTGCAGTGCCTAAGGTAGTTACACTTTCTATATCTAGCCATATAACTTTCTATCTACTAATCAAATAATTTGCCTTTGAAACAGTCAAGTCCTAAATATGATTTTTGGTTATTTGATTCAGTCAGGTTCAGGGGATATGCTCTCTACAGCTTGTGGGTCTCCATGTTATATAGCACCAGAGGTAACAATGAATTTATAATAACAAATCATAATGTTGAATCTGCAGAAGCTGACTTTGTTAATGAAAAACAGTTGATAATGAACAAAGGCTACTCAGGAGCAGCAGTGGATGTATGGTCATGTGGAGTGATTCTATTTGAGTTGCTTGCTGGTTATCCTCCGTTTGATGATCACACGCTTGTGGTTTTGTACAAGAAGATACTCAGAGCAGATTACACGTTCCCACCTGCATTCACTGGAGAGCAGAAAAAGCTAATCTTTAACATTCTTGATCCAAATCCTCAAAGGGTATATAACAAGAAAAGATTCTGCATTTGTACATTGTCAATCTTTGAATCCCAAATTTAGTAATAATGTTTGAAAACATTTGGATGCAGCGTATGACACTAGCTGAGATAATCATCCAAGATTCTTGGTTCAAGATAGGTTATGCACCGGCTTATCATCAAGTTTCAGACTCAGTCAAGGCAAGTTATTGATTCACTAGATGCCTGATTAGCTTTGAGTAATTTTATATAGTGCTCAAATCTGTAAATTAACTTATTTGAATTGGATCTTGCAGGAAAATGTAGCCGAGATAAATGCAGCAACCGCTTCAAATTTCATAAATGCTTTTCAGATAATTGCAATGTCTAGTGATCTAGATTTGTCAGGTCTCTTCGAAGAACAGGTAAAAGACTTAATCTTGAAACTATTTTAACAAAGAGAAAGTAAAGCTTGCATCTTCTTCCTTATAATTAGTATTATTTCTTCAGGACGATAAGAAATATAAAACAAGAATAGGGTCCAAAAATACAGCACAAGAAACAATCAAGAAGATTGAAGCTGCGGCAACTGATGTTAGTTTATCAGTCGAAAGGATAAAACACTTCAAGGTACTAATTTATAAGTTAGTTAATGCAGCTTCTTCTGTAGATCATCTGTTCTTAGTTAAGAATCTCATGAATGCAACTTTTTGTTGTGCTTTAATCACCAGGTTAAGATTTTACCAAAAGAGATAAGATCAAGATCTTCTTGTGACTTATTATCAGCAGAGGTGATCGAGGTGACTCCGACCAATTGTGTAATAGAAATATCAAAATCCGCAGGCGAGTTAAGACTATACATGGAGGTAAACTTAAAAAAATGTTACTAAACACATTCAAGAAATATATAAAATGACGTTTACAGATTAATCTGATGATATTAGATGGGTTTGTTCTACTTGACAGTTTTGCCAGAGTTTATCCAGCTTACTTACGGCGGAAGTAAGCTAAGAGCCATAGATATGTCAAGTAAAATGTTGTGGAAGATGACGGATAGAGGAAGGAAATAAAGTATGTTTTGCAGATACAAGTTACAGTGACATGAAGAGAATGGATCCAAAGAGTAATTCATGTCTTGTGGTGATCCCAAAGGGTTCTCCTTCAGGGTGTAAATCGATGGATTTTAACTCGATTGAGATATAAATAAAGCACGCAAATTTTTGGGGGTAAATCTAGAGGTATATGTGAGTGTTCATTGTGAGGCAGATACACATATTTTGTTTGTCCATGATTTCAAGTGATCTATATATAGATTGTGGAAAGAAAACAATAGTTGGAGTTTTTTTAAGAGCTCTTGGTTTGGTGTTGTTATCATATGACTAATCGTATTGAAAAGAAAGGTAGGTGGAGTAAGTTAGAGCAGAGTCTTAAAAGAAGAAAATGAAAGCTTTTTGTACTTCGTTTTAGATTTGCTTACCCTTCACGCTCTGATGTGGATCCTCCACTCACACTTTGACAGCTGTAATCTTTGAACCACTAGAATTTTCTTCAGGTACACACACACACGAGGTGTGCTCTGTTTTCTCTGTTTTTGGCTACCTAACAAAGTAACCAACTCTGCAGAGAAGTTCTTCTCACACGCATCTGTTGTTGGGCCTTTGCACATGAGCTTTTATCTGGGCCGAGAGAACAAGGTTCTTTTAGAGTGAAAAACTTGAACTTATCTGATCGTCGCTGGTCTTTGACTCCTTCAAAGAGTTTTGGCAAAATGGTCTTCCATTGAGAACTTACGTTCTACGGAAGAAGAAGTATGCTAAGAAGTATTGATTCTGAAGTATAAAGCTCTGATAGATGACGTGAAGAGGAAGCAAGTACGAAAGTATCAAACCAGATTGACGTTAGATCAAAGACTATCTTGATGACCAACCCCAAAAGGGTTCTTTTTCTTTTATTGAATGTAAACTAACAAAGACATAAATATAGAAAAAGAAAAAGAATTGAAAAACTCACTGATGGTTTTGATATCTTTACATAACAAGGCCATTCAACAAAATTTTGTAGACATGACCATTAGGACATTAGAAACATCAACAACAACGACAACAACAATATAACGATGCACCATACAAATTAGCTCTGTCGGAAATCTTTTTAATTTCAAGAAGATTTAGAAACAGAAAATATAAAGAAAATTAAATGAAATCAAGTACCATACAAAAAAAAAAAAAAAAACCGTTTAAAGTGTTTTTTTTTTCCTTAGTAAGGCTTCTCGCCAACGTAGTTACCCGGAGGGTCGTAGTTACAAGTGATGAAAACTCCGGCACCGTTCTCACAGACCTTACTTGCGCATCCGAGCCTTTTGGTGTCACGCCACACCATCTGAGTGTAATGACCACACATTCCACTTCCGTCACACGAGTTGGTGTTGTAGTTGTATGAGCTGCCTTCAACGATCCATGACTGCACCGCGAAACCTGGTGCCCAGCTTGAGCCACTCCCCCAGAATAGGTTCTCACCGTATGGACCGGTCGAGTGGGACAATGAGCAATCAAAACGCCTCTGGTTAGCCCACCATGTCGCGTAGTTCGCTAGCCTACCGTCCCAAACCAATGGAGACAAACCTAGTAAAAGAAATGAGATTTCATTTAACCAACATCAATAACAATAACATTATACAATCAAAAGATAAGTATTTGTTGAAGTTATACACGTAAATGATCTAAATTCTACCAAAATTTAGAATTTTTTTGTACTCCGAAATTTTGTAGATATCTACAATAAGAATGTAGTTATTTTTTAACCTGAAAAAATCCTAGGTAAAAACCTAGACTAGTCTCATGGCCATATGAAAAATGGGCTAATCATGATTGAAATCATAGTGAAATGATTGGAACCATCTTTCAACTAACACGCTGAATCGTTACAATGTTTCTAATTAAATACCTAGCCTGGACCGAAGAGCGTTATGTGGGTCAAGGAACAGTCTAGCGGTTGAGCCAGCGGGTAGAACCGGTGTAGTAGGAGGCCTATAAACAGGCTTGGGGCTTGGGCTCGGAAGTGGGAACCGTGGCCTAGGGATGTAGGGGCTAGGGGTAACCGGTGGCCTTGGACGGTAATAGTCTGCATGGACTGCTTGGAAAGCGACCAACAAAAGGGATACGGTGAAAACAAGGACTTGGGTCGTTGACGAAGTGGTCGCCATCTTTGAGGTGTGACTATGAAAGATGGTTTGTTTGGGTGGTGAAGAGAAATGGCTCTAGTGAGTTACAATTTATAAGTTATGATTTCATTAATTAAAGAATGAGGTTTGGACCCTTAAGGGGGATGTCAACTACAATGTGGCTTCCATGTTCGATTATGGTTACCACTCCTTTATGTTTCTCTTTGGTAAAACGGATTTTATGGTTGATTTATTTAATTGTCAATTAGGGTTTTAAAAAGTTCGTTTGTCATCTACATGTACATGAATTTCTTGATTAAGTAATACTACACATATAGATGATAACATTTTGTATTATTATTCATAATGCTTAAAAGAAAAAGAAAAAATATATCCGCTTCACTTTAATTTCAGAGTTATGTTTTATTCTTTGCAAAATAGTACGGATACATTTACAAATTAAAAAAAAAAATCTCATGCATATATTATGATAAAATGTTATGATAGAATTAAACTCTCAAGAATGAAATGAAATGAACTTGAATGTTATTTTAATTGATTTCTTATAATATCAAGTGGCACAAGGTAAAGGTGATCGGCCATGAATAATTTATTTGCGGATAGAACTTATCAATTTATATTAGTTTTATACTTTTATATGGATCTAAAAATATAATAATTAGCAATTAACGTAATGAAAATGTAGCCGGCCAAAAAATGTTCCCTGGACTTTTCTATCTAGCGATTTTATTTACAAAATTATGATTATACTCCAATGGCTTTATATTATATGCAAAAATACGTTTGGTCAAATGTACAAAAGTATTTTACTTTCTAGTGGAGGAAATTAATTATTTTCTTAGGTTTGTACTTAGCTTCCTTGTCATGGAACGTGTCACTTCTCAAGTCTCAAGATTCAAACACGAGTCGCATCTGTGTATGGGCCTTTGAAAATGGAAATCGAACTAGCCCGTTATTTTCTCTGCCAATTAATTAAAGACATAACTAATCCATGATTTTCTGGCAAAACAAAGCAAACCAAAGAGACAAGGGGGGAAACAAAGGAGGTCAAGCATTAAAGCTTAGCTTTTTCTATACAAGTATACAACCCACACAATAAAAATAAAATTATGATAACTTATATCAGAGTTATCAAACGCTGATCAATAAAAGCTCTGTAAAATGTGAACATTTCATCATAAATTGGATCATAATGTATTTATAAAAAAACATGTAAATGTGTCAAAAGTATAATACTAGCTAGAAACCTCGTTCCAGAATGAAATAAAGCAAGTAGAACTAACGATTTACATTATTATCCACAACACGTTACATTTTCACGAACTTATGAAAAAAAACCCTTTCACCCTTAACATGCTATAAGCTTATGACCGTAACAACACATATTTCATCAATAATCCATCCCTATAGAAGTTATACATATAATATATGCGTGAGATATATGCATATGAATTATTAAACACTGTGATAGCTCATGTGAGCGTAATCTTGAAGCATAACCATTCCTTCCGTCGTCTGATCAAGAACAGAAGCTGATCCCCAAGAACTGGACGACGTCGTTTTCCTCTCTAGCTCCACTTCCTCCGACCACCAACTCGAACCGTTTGTGAGCTCAAACTCGTTTCCCCCTTGAAACAATTCTTTAGAAGCACCTCTGTTTATAAGGTCCATGTTATGATTATCTAATCGAAAGTCCTGCGAGAAACCAAAATTAGGTTGAAATTCTTGAACAGAGTTTAGGGACTGCTCTATGTTGCTCTCTGAATATATAGGTGAGACACCGTTGTTGATCTGAGCTAGCTTGATGTGATTGTTCTGATGATGAACATTAACTCCTAGAGGGTGGAAGCTTTCTTGAGATGCCAGCTTAGGGTTTTGATCAGGAGTTGTAGTAGTAGTCTGCAGCAACGGGTGAAGTTTGGGCCACAAGATAGGGTTGTTGTAGAAACTAGAGAAAGGACTCTGTAGATTCTGGAGCTGCATGTGAAGTTGAAGCCTCTCCAGCGCCGAATTGCTCAGATTCTGAGGACTCTTGTTGTTGTTGCTGCTGTTGTTATCATTAGAGTCAGTTATGGATTCTTGACGATTCATTTGTTTCTGTCTTCCAAGAAGTTTCTTCTTCAGTTTTGTGTTCCAGTAATTCTTGATATCATTGTCTGTCCTTCCAGGAAGCTGAGCTGCTATTATAGACCACCTGCATATATCACATTAAGCTTAAAATTAAAAAAAGTTTTACAAGAATTTTTATTTATTTATAGAACACTCTTTAAGCTCATGTTTCACAGATGTAAATGTACAAAGGTGCTTACAAAAACACCAAACAAGAAGAAAGAGACAACAGAAACCCTAAATTCTATGAGATGTATAATTGCTTGAAACATGGGCTTGCATGTGTTTCAGCATAAGATTCATAGACAAAAGGTAAAAAGACAAGTATTTCAAGTTAAATTTTAACGGAAAATTACCTTTAATTCTGAACCATGAAGATATTAAATATTAACTAAGAGATGTTTTGATTAATTTAATTAACTACCTAATATAATCAAGATAGATAGATCACTAACCGGCTTCCAATGCTGATGTAAAGACTCAATATGATACTATCTTCTTCCTCAGAAAAGCCACCATGTTTGATGTTTGGTCTTAAGTAATTAAGCCATCTCAGTCTGCAGCTCTTACCACATCTCTTCAGCCCTATAATTTACACAACACCTCAATATCAGAACAATTCGAGCTAAGAAAAAAAAAAAAAAAGTCAAGGAGTTGATTAAATACATCATTCATTGATTCAAATAAGTGATATGAAATATATACAAAAAGAAGCTCAAAATTCTAAGTTTGGTTGATAACATAGTAAATTTAAGCAAGGTCTATGCAGTTAATTAATGGATTAGAAGTATAAGCTAAAGTAACTATTACCAATTTTCTGAGGCAGCGCGATCCAGTTGCCACCAGTGCCATATTTGTCGATGTAATCCTTGAGCTTCACATCTTCTTCCGGGGACCATGGCCCTTTCTTCACGTTTGCCTTGTCGCAGCATGGAGCTCTTCCCATTTTCTTGCAACTCTTTTGTTTCTTGATCTTGATCTTGTTTTTGTTGTTGTTCTTGTTGTTGTTCTTCTTCTTCTTCCAAGTGTTAATTTGTTTGGTGGTGATGAAATGATCTAATGCTTAGAAGAGGATATTTATAAACAGGGAAAAGGAGGATATTAATTGTTGATTATAATAACTGAAAAAGTAAATATTAAATTATGATATGATTATGAAGTCTTCTCCGCGTTTTGTTTTCTTTTTCATGATTCAACTTCAACCCTAATTGTTTTTTTTTCTAACTAGGGTTTTTTTTTTTCTTTCTGCTTTTTGGATTAGTTTTCTAACCTTTCTTTGTTTAATACTATTATCATGAAAAGGTAAAAAGTTGTCTCAATTTTAAAATAATAATTAACGCAAAGAAGACTTGCGTGAAAATTTGTCCAATTGCATTAGCACTTTATATATTTTAATAAATAGATCAAGTGAAAGGGCAGGAAACAAACCATCGTCTTGATTTGTCGTGACTTGGGTTGAAATGTTCCCCTCTATAGCCAATCAAATACCATCAGTTCTTTTTATTTCTGACGTACTTCCCGAATTTGGATAATTTTCATATGTTTTAAAAAGGGTTTAGATAAGTTTTTTTTTCGGGTGGTAAAATAGATAAGTGACTTTCTATTTGAAAAAGGTGCAAAAAATTCTTGAGTTTCACATGACAGAAATTTTTGGTAAAAAACAGGAGTTTTCAGAACTTGCATAATGTATCAAAGCGAAGGAGTATTTCTTATTTTTGTTAATAAAATGATGAACATTGAGCTACCAATACTTGATTGAAATTTTGGATAAAGGTATTTTCTTAGACAGGTGCTACTTACCAAACATCGGCGATAATGAAAAATTGCATATGCGTAGATTTAATTTCTTAAATACATTGTAAAAGCAGAAAATAACACAGTGGTTATGACTATTAATCCATTGAACGAAAAATAAAGGATTATTTTCAAAATTGTATTAGTTTTTTTTTTGCTAGGAAATGTATTACTTTTCCGTTCTACATTGTATTATTTTCCCGTTCAGTGGATTTATAAAAACGTGCCCATTACAAATAGCCGAGGACAGAAAGGAACAACTTTTTTCTCAAAACTTATAGAAACTGCAGTTATAGAAGAAGAAGCTTCTAAGAAAATAACCGAAGACATAAATGATTAGTATGAAACTGTGTGTGCCGTAAGAAAAAATGTCGATTTCGCGAAGAAGGTTATGAGTCTTATGACTCCTTGCAAAACAAGTTTGACACTTTGACTTCAACCCAGAGCAAGCATCAATTTCCATGTCTAGGCCGTTTATTTATCTCCCATATTATTATTATATAATATAACCTCTTTTCTTTCTTTGGCATCGTTCTAGAAACTCTTGTTCTTTGACTTATAGTCTCTTTTATATATTTATGCAAAAGAGACTATAAGTCAAAGAACAAGAGTTTATACATGTGTGTGAGAATATACAAAAATATTATAAATCAGAAACTGGAATCATGTAAATATGGGTAGCATACTATTTTTCTTATAAGATATTTGATTTTTCTCTAAACAATTAAATTTTGTAAATGGATTACTATTACCATCATAATTTTGTACTTTCACTATCTTAAAAGTTTTACATTGTTATTTAACATGCAAGTTTTTTGTTTATAGTCAGCGATATCAACTAAATCACGCATTATATTTATATTCAAACGTTCTTAGGCACCAAATTATTTGGTTACTAATTAGTAAGCTAAAATTGTGGAAATTAAATTCATTGGTGGGAAGACTGTATTTGAAAAGAGAAAAGCTCAAATAGAATAGTTGATCGGAACAACCAGACAATAATTGGCCTTGATTTATCATAAATATGTTGTTTGAAAACTTAATGCATGTACCATATTTTTATCTAAAGGTTGTGATTTGTTAGTTAAATATTCAAGTGAGATAAGGAACCACAACTAGGCAACAAAATAACAAGAGGAAACCATCAAATTTTCAAAAAGAAGCAACTAATATTCTGTATAATTTAATATCCCTACAATATAATAAAAGATATTCTGTATAATAATATAATAAAAGATTGAAGACACCAGGAAATTCAGAGCTCTCAGTAAAAGCAAAGCAAATGTTTCTTGTTGTCCTCTTTCAAAACCCTAGAATCGATGCATTTAACTAATCCCAAGCTTTACGACATTATAATCGAGCTGGTTAGCGATTAAATATATGTATATATTGTGTACTCCATATGAAAAATAGAGTTATAATCGTGTGTGTGTGTGTGATATGTTTTAAATGTCGTGAGAGGATAAGCTTAGATACACAACAAATCATTAAGTAATCATTGTTGCTTGGTTTGAAGTTCCCAGCTAAACTTCAGATATCACATCCCCAATATTTGCTTCAAAATCATTAATTAAGGCTAAAAATCCTTGTGAATAGCCTAATATATACTTGAATTGACTAACATTTTCACTTATATGATTCCCTCTCTCTTCTTTTTGTGTGTGTGTGTGGGTGATTTGGCCTTTATTTTCGTTTGTATAAGCTTTGTTAATTTTCCCCCAACAAATTCAAGTTCATGCTAAGATTTGAGTTTGCTAATCTTATAAAATTATTTATTTTTACCAACAAAAAACTAATCGTGTCACTCATCATCACGTCACTTGGGTTGACTAACTCATTACCGACTTACCGTACGCAATTTCCTTTACAATGAAACGGTAAATGATTGTTCTCTCTTTTATACAGCTTTTGGAATATATAATTTATAACATTGAATCATATGCTCTTATTGGTTCATAAAGGAAAATAAAAATAAGTATGACACGTGTGGTGTGTACGTGTGAGTTTGACCATACAAAGGAAAAGTCATTAGCGCGTGTTAGGTGTTTTGCGTTAAGACTTAGGGTCTGACTGGTTTAACCGCTGCGGTTGCGGTTGCGGGAGTTTGCGGCTGCGGGAGTTTGCGGAAGCGGGAGTTTGCGATTAAAAGCTGTTTGTACGACTGGTATAGCAATTCATAGCGGTTGCGTTTGCGGGATATTTTTGACTGGTTAGCCAGCGGGTGCAAGAGCGGTTTAACCAAAAGTTACTAAAATAAAAATAATATATAATTATTCAAAACATTTATAACCATATTAATAATTTTTTTTTTGAAATATATTTTTTGATGAATTTTTAATTTGAAAACTACCCTTTTTTTTTGGTTTTGAAAAATACACTTTTTATATGTAAAATGATTATTCCTAATTTAATAAAAACGAAATTCAAATAAGAAATATAAAATATTAATATTTGATAATAATTTTGTATCATTTTAACATCCTAATTACCTGTTTAGTTTTTTTTAAACAATTTAATAAAAATATAAGATTGTTTATATAAAGTTTAAATGGGGTGAGATTAAAGTTGTTTATGCAAAGTTTCAAAAATATTTAAATTTTTCAAAAGATAAACATTAAAAATGAAAGATATATTTCTCCACTTTTAAATTTTTAATAATTTATAAACTTTAAATATATGTAAAGTTTTAATTTATTTAAAGTTTCATTTGGTTTGAATGTGTATGAGGTTAAGTTGTTTATATAAAGATCCAAAATATTAAAATTTGTTTCAGTTTAACATATACTATATTTATTTGAAAAAAAACTTATTAGTTTATTATTTTTTTAAATTTTCGTTTATAATTTGTAATTATTTATTATTTTTTTGTTTAAATCACGTCAAAACATACTTTTTACATTTTAAAAGTGTATTTTTCAAAACAGAAAAAATTTAGGGTATTTTCGAAATTTTTAAACATAATTATGGTATTTTTCAAAAAAATATACCCTTATTCCAAATTTGGAGATATTATGTTTTTTTTTTTTTTTTTTCAAACCGCAACCGCCCGCAACCGCAAACGCTTGCGGAAAGGAGCTTTTGATTTTCAGCGATATAGAGCGGTACAGAGTGGTATAGAGCGGTTGAAAGCGGTTGTCGTGATTGTTATAAAACGCTAAGAACCGCTACGAACCGCAAACGCTGCGTTTGCGGGTGGTAGCGGGAGAACCAATCATCACCTTAAAAGGGCAAATATTAAACAAAAACATAGCCATACCATATAGTATATGTGTTTGTACTTTGTAGAGGACAAGACATTGGTTTCTTTGATGGTGTCACGTATCTTGACCTTACACTTAAATTACTACTATACTACGACTTATCTTCAAAATTCAACCCTTAATTATAATGCACTCAAGCTTATGTTGTAATAGTCTTATACAATTTTAAGTTATATGGTATACAGGCATCGCATACTGGTACTCTTAACGAGAATTACAAACAAAATTCACCAAACGAGTAAAGTTTCGTTAACTAAATTAATAAGTAAGATTGTTTAAGCCCATGGTCCAATGATTAACACTACATTTTGTATAATTTTCCAATATTAAAACTTGTAATTGGTTAGAAGGATATGTTCTGTGTACAAGGAAGATACGACATCGGAGTTGATAATGTCATGCTTTAATTCTTCTCCTACTTCACTTGCTGATATTTTATATGATAAGTAATTAAGAAGATCTTTGGCGCTTGCAAGGGCTGACTTTTCTGTTTATAGAGAAGAATATATATTTGTTTATTAGCATTAGTTTACAATATTCATTGATTAAGAATCAAACAAAACATTATTAAAAGTCAAACCTAACAAGTACTAACTATTTAGACATAGATACAGAAAGGATTTGCAGTCCTGTCAAAAAACTTTGTTGCCATCCCTCAAGTGTGTCTTTAGACCCTTTAATCCATTACCTAACCTCATCTCTATATTAACATTTTCTTGATCTAATTTGTGGGTTGGGTTTGTTCGAATCTTGGGATATTTAGACCGGACGACGACGTTTTAGGGAGCTTCTTAGACATTAGTTTTGTTTATTAGTTCACAAAGATTAACTTTAACGCAAATTTTCCACCCAAATGTTGTAGTTTGGAAACATTAAGTGTTAAAACATAATTCTAATAGAGAGAGTTAATTTATCCACTTGGTGACCAAACATGAACTAGTATGCATTACTGCAGAATTCTAATAGAGAGAGTTAATTTATCCCTTCATCCATTTTTTTGATCAAATGTTATTAATCTTCTTAAAATTCAATGAAATAAAAAGAATAATCTAATGTGTACCGTTCTTCAACCACAAATTTTATATACAAACACCAAAAATAATACCCCAATAAAAAAAATGAACCAGAGACACAGACCTCAATGATCATCAAGTGCAACCAACACATTGCTTGATCAGAAGTTGCAAATCAAAATCTTCTAAATTCAACATAAGCTTTATATACCCATAAAACACCATTTCTTTTCTCCCACAAGACGCTAGTTTCTGCGTTCCAGTCGCAAAACCAAGTGGTAGCTTAAAATAGGCTAACTATACTTTTTATAAAAAACCAAAGTAAATAGAAGCCTTGTTCATCTTCAAGAACCCTGCACCATCACCATCTTACATCTTCTTTTTCTTCATCATCATCATCTTTATTCTTCCTTCTTTTTTGAGTTTTACTTATTTATTTCAAATTCATAGCAGCAGCCATAGTCCTGAGCTTCTGTGATATATCAGCAAAGGATGGCCTCTCTGTAGGCTCAGAGGCCCAGCAGCTTTCCATCAATCCCTTCCACTCTGGATCACACCACTGCGGGATTTTCGGACGCAATGCATTATTCACTATACCTCCTGTAATAAAAACACCAATCCATTTGTCTTAAACTCATAACACTATCACTCACAAGTATATAAAGATAAGCAAGATATTCGTAATTAGTTACCAATTATGGAAGCGCAGTGCATATCTGCGTAAGGTTCTTCACCAGTAAGCAATTCCCACATTACAATCCCAAACGAGTATACATCAATCTAATTAACAGAGAGAGACATAGTTAGTGATAGTTCGATCCAATCGAAAAAAGCTGCAGTTTTAAAAGGAAAGAAACTGGTTACCTTTTCAGAGACCATATTGCTTTTGCCACTCAAGAGCTCAGGGGCCATCCATGGCAAAGTCCCACGAACACCTCCTGACACTAAAGTCTTCTGTTTCACTTTCGATAACCCTAAATCACCAATCTGAAAAGAGACAGATTTGTTAGAAATCTATAAGGTTCCTCATTATGTAGGAGGTCAGTTGAGCAAACAAAAAAAACTAACCTTGCATATAGGACGCTGAGGATCTCTCATGTTCACAAGAAGGTTCTCACACTTCAAATCGAAATGAACTATGTTCTTTCCGTGCAAATACTCCATCCCAAATGCAGTATCCATGCCTATAATGAGTCTTTTGCGACGATCGATAGTTCTAGAGGAGTCAACCAATGTGATGTCAGATATTTGAATCCACTAGGTATAGTAATACAATGCATGATTATGTGATTTTTTTTTACCTGTCTTTCTTTTGCAAGAACTGTTTCAAAGATCCGTTAACCATGAACTCGGCCACAGTTGCTAGAGAACCATCAGGACCATCACGAACTATCCCATAGAAAGAGACCACGTTTGGGTGATGCAATGAGCTCAATAACAGGGCTTCTTTCCAAAAATCTTCTATCTGCAATACCAAAAGTTGAGTAAGGTGAATAATACTAAAGTTAATGAAGTTCTCAAAGTCGATAAAGGGATTATAATTTACCAAACGTTCTCTCTCAGAAGGTTTGCCTGCAAAGCAACTGGCTTTTATTCTCTTTATTGCAACATCTGAGCCTTTCCATTTCCCATGGTAAACAGATCCATATGTTCCAGAACCTAACTCTCGGATCTCCTCCAGGTCATCGTTTCTTATAGTCTGTAAGAAGAAGGTGAAAAACCAAGATAACAAAGTCAAAATGACTAAAAATGGGCATCTACATCTACCAGAAATTTTGTTCGGTTTCAGAATTCTATAAGACAATTTTAAGAATAAAGCGAAAGTATACAAACCTGTAGTCCCCTGGATAGAGCTTCAGCCTCAGCCTTTGTTGGTTCAATCTTAAAACTGCTTGAGTTATCACTATCGGAATCCATCTCAGGTTCGACTTGAGCATTCTGAAAAAGAAATTAGCAGAATAATAATCAGAAGAAGTGAACACGCCATTAGAGCCATAACAGGTTTAACATCTCATAAGACTCACCACATGCACGGATTCATTTTCCACCAACTCCGGCCTCACAGTATGGTCGGCTTCTTCTGGATGAGCTTTGACCTCGGCAGCTCCTTCAAGTGCTGCCCTCTTCACAGATTCCATTAACTCAGGCAAGAAGCTCAAACGCTCAACTGATAGCTCCTCTCCTTCCGGAAGAGCAGCAGAAGGACTAACTTCTACCGGGTTACCCATATCGTTCTTTCCTTCAGCTAACGGTTGAGTCTTATCTAGGTAAGGAACACCAGCGTCAACATAGTTAAACCGTTCACCTCCCTGTGAAACCTTATATTCCACCGGCCTCACCACTTCAACAAAACCTGGTGTCTGCGTAATTGGTGCAGCATTGAGGTTTGTCTGTAACAAGGGCCCTGGCAAAGGTTCGAGCACCTGTTGATATTCGTTATGCACTGCTGGGTTCTCAGATGGCACCCAGTTTGGGTCTAAAGGCAAGGCTCTATCTTGCAAATGGGGATTAGGGTAGTAAGGCTGGCCAGGGGAAGACATTCCATCAAAGCCTGAAATATTCTGCGGAGAACCGACCAAAACACTTTGATTCTCCACTCCAACAGAGTATCTAGGAGCACTATCTATCGGATTCCTGATAACAGTCGGATTAACTGAGCCATTGGCTTGCATCGGCAAGCCTGAAGCACCAGAAATATGGTTTGGAACGTTCTGCCAAATATTTTGCTGCGGGTGGATGTGACTATGACTTGCTGAATGAACAAGTTCAGGTCCTGGAGCATAGAGATTATTCCCATACCGACGTTCCTCAGCAGGAGGGTTAGACGAGTTCAAGGGAATGCCACCAAGAGGTCTATCATAAAACCCTTCATTGGAAATTTCAGGTCCACCTCGGTGGCCAAGAGGATAATTCATCCCAGGACCATCGAGAGTGTAATGATCGCTTGGTCTTCCAACATTAGTAATATGTGGCCTCCCTTCCTCAACACGTGTAGGATTAGAATTCACCTGTTGTTGAACCATCCATCCTCTTTCATGTCCAAAAATCTCATTTTGATAAGCTCCGTGAGGAGTAGGAGGCTTTGCGTCAGCGTTAAGCAGGAAATTATCCCTGTTGGGTGGACAGTGTGCACAGCGAGCAGAAGGAACCGGTGGAAACCCGTTATTAGGCTGCTCAAACGGCTGGTGGTTCCTATGAAACGGTACACGACAGTTCTCACATACATTACACCCTTCATAACCACCTTGACCACCGTGAAGTACGTTCCCAGGAAAGCCTCCTTTACTCTCAGGCGGCATTGCTCCAGCAGGCACCCACACCACACTGTCAGGAACTTGCGCCTGGTGCTCATAGAAAGGATGATGACTTGGCCTCAAATAATCCTCAGGCATTCTATCAAACCCTTTATCAGGAATCTCCCCATACGGCATTCGGTAACGAGCAGAGGAAGGCGAAGATGGAAACTCCTGAAAAGTTCTGGGATCGTGGTGACCATGATGCCGAGGAGAATAGTAAGGACTCCATGTACCTTCCACTTCACCATACCTCGGCGCAAGCATCTGCCCCGAACCAACACGAGGAATCCTCAGCTGGTGAAGATTACTATACTGCGCCACAGGTATCTCATTCCCTCTCTGGCTACCACCACCAGTCTCAATACTCAACTGATTCAGCATCGGCTCCATCATCGAAAAATCATCCATAAGATTGAAACGAGGCGAATCAGGATGCTGCTGGAGCTTCCTAAAGTCTGTCCCTTCGATCAGATTATTAAGAGCGTCAACGTATCTCCTCTCGGATTCCCTCTGATCATCGTAATGCGAAGAACCATCCTGCTCAGGAGACGAAAACAGAAAGATCCTAAGCCTAGTGAAACCATCCCCTGAACCTAACTTATCGTATTCCTCCATCATGTTCGTCACATCGTCATCATTCACCACTGAAACAAGAGCATCGAGATCCTCGTCAGGCTGCTGGTATTTCAAAACCGCCGCACCGTCGTAAAGCTCTCTCATTTTGCTCATGAGCTCTTCGTACCTAATATCTCTCGTCACGCTCACAATCCTCGTCTCTCCTCCTACGTACCTCAATTTCCCGTCCTGAGGACGAGGCAATATACTACCTAAGAAGCTACAGAGGAATTTAACCCGATGCGGCTCGTCGTTCAAGCTAGAGACTGGGCTAGTGACGGAAGATGAGTTCATCGAACCGGAATCCATGGCGAATCTCCTCCCAATCTGATTATTACTCTGTTTTTGATCACCAGCTCGCTTATTGCACATGAGAATTCAAATCCGACGATACGTCCTTCTCCGATTTCTCGTACCAAATCTCGAGACAATAAAACTTCGCAGTCGTTCGCTGAGAATAACAGTTGAAACGATTCTCCATTTACAAGGTTGCGGACGAATCCTCACACAGCATCAGCACTTTCCTGTAACAAAAAAAAAATCAAACATGCAATACACACATCAATCCAGAGAATTCGATGAACAAAGTACAGAAGCGGTGTGAGTAAATGTAAAATTGGATTCAAATGAACAAAGAAGATAATCACTTGAATTTGAATATCGTCATCGGTTACCTAAACGCTCGGATAAATAAAACAACGAATTTCGATTCAGAAATGCCTGATTTGTAAACACGGGAAGCAATAAATCACCTTCCGATTCCGCACTCTGATGTTTCTCGGTTTTGAATGACTCAAAGACGAAATCTGAATCGGAGAAAACCCAGAAAAAAGATTTAAGAGTGGAAGATTCGTGTGATTTCGATTAGAGAGGAAGAATAATTGAGAAAGAGCGGCGACGACAGAGGTTTTCGTTTTTTGATTTGATGAAAAAATAGAGAAAAACAAAAATATTTTTATAATTTTCTGGGAACTTTTTTGGTGTTTTTGGGGTAGAACTAGAAGATGCGATGCTTGTGTACCGCCAGGTAGCGATCCACGTGGCGATATCTAAGCTTTTTTGAATTTAAAGTTTAAACATTTTTCTTCCCACGGCATGGCATGGCATAAATCAATTGGGTCGGGCATATGCTTCTTCCTCGTCCTCAGATTCCTTGTGCCCACCGCCACTGCGCGTGTTCTTCACCCGCGCATTTATGTTTACTTTATTACGCTCTAAACATAAATTAGTTGTTAATTATTGATTACGTTTGCATATAGAAGAAGACTCATTTATTTATTTTTAGATGTATTTCGATGACTAATCAAATGAATGTTTCGATTTAATTGGACTAAAACAGTAAACTCAAGATATACGCAAACATGATCAATATTATATATCTTCATATATTTGACTAGATATCTTTTAAACGATATAGCTCATGTTACAAAACAAATTTGTATGACAAATATACACAAACTCTAATTAACAAATATGCAAAATCTAATAAATTGATCAAAATGTCAGTAATATCAAAAGGAGTATAGTTATGCGGTTATTGAAAAATTAGGACTAATTAACACTGATAAATGGGTTGGATCTTAACAAAACAAAAAATACCAATATTTTTAATTTATTCGGATATAAGTAAAAGTATTTGTTTGTTTAATAACAATAATGGAAAAGTTTAGAAATATATAAATGTCACATGACTCGCATCTAAACCTAATTAACTAAAGAGAATCATCCGTCGAAACCATGTCTTCCTTGAGCAGCAAATTCTCCGCGGCTGAGACATGCGTCTTCTGGGACCTGGATGGTTGCCCAATCCCTACTGGTCTCAGTCCTGTTTCGATCTCTGCTAATATCAGACTAGCTCTCGAGAATATGGGTTATACTGGCAAGATGTCGATCTCTGCTTATTCTGCTGTGAAGCAGAACGAAGAAGTAGAGTTTGAATCCGCCCAAATCAAGCTTATTTACAAGGAAACTAGTCAAGAAAAAGGTAGAACGATGTACTTGGACGTTATGTTTTGGGGAATAAGGCATCGTAATGAACCAACAAATGTGATGGTAATCTTAAAAGACCTCTCGCCAAGAACTAGCTACGGTGGGGGGCTTGTTATTTTGAAAGAGAATGACAACAATCCTCTCTTAGCGTACCCACGAAACGATCCAGGAGTGCTGCATCTGCGTGATACCGCAACTTCAACATGGCTTTGGGAAAGCCTATCAACTGGAGGGAGCCCTCTCGATGGCCACAACATGAGACCAGAACCAGTTACGCCGCCGTCTCCACCTTGTTCTGCTTGCAGCAGAAGGGCACTACGTCTTGCTAATAAGCGTAAGAAACGTCCGACCAAACCTTGTCTCAAAAGGTGGAAGAGGAGCCAAGTTTTTAGATCAAAGTTTTGGTTCTTACTTGCCGGTTTATGAAGTTTAATTTTGTGGTTTTAGAGAGCTTTCGTTTTAATTTTATATAATGTGTTCCTAGTTAATGTTATTCCTCTGTTGATGGGAAATCTCTTTGGTCGCTACCATTCCATTCGTATGGATACGTGTTAGTTTTTCCTATTTATTTATGATGTTGAGAGTTGTTTTCTTTTTCTTTTGTTTGGTGTGCGCAAATGTTATTTTGTTATGAAAAATTGTTTTTGATTGGAAAAAAAAACAAGTGTCTCATGTGATCCTACTTGGTCTACCAAGTAGGTCAGCCATTGTTTGACAAAAGTCGATTAGGCAACGAGAGGCTGGTGATCTTTCACTCGGTTGCGTGTTTTGCACTGGCAGGTGGTGCAATCATTTTTTAAAATCATTGTTGTCTTAATATAGTTTCATGGTTTGGCTTTTGCATGTTTTTGCTAACTATGATTGTTGTTTTTCCGGCTATAACATCTGTGTCATGAAGGATGTTGTTGATGAACACGAAGTCTTATCCACAAAGAATTTTTAAGTTAAGATTGATAAATCCTTTTCACTTTGAAATGCGAATAATTTGTTTGAACACACAGATGCAAACAGAGTTATAGGGTCCAGTCCAGTCCAGCCCAACAATATTAAATTCGGACAAAAAGACGTGAATAAGAATATAGTACCAAATTTGCCCCCGAATCACAACAACCATTTCCAGCTCACTTCCCCCTTCCCACACACTCTTAAACCCTCCACTCTCCATCACTTCAGTATTCCACCGACGATGTTGCCCGTAACCGTCGCTCTCTTCCGCCACCGTCTCCGGCACTCGTGCCACCGCATTAGATTTCACTCCACCGCTAATTATCCTCCTCCTCCTCACTCTTTCCATTTGCCGCTCAACCACCCTACCTACTTCATTTGGTCAGCCAACACTTCTCTTGGCAAAACCCTCGTATCTACCGGCATCTCCGCCTCTTTCCTCCACCAACAACCTTCTCCTTCCGCCGGAAATTCCAGAAAACTCCTCTATTTGAAACCTATCCAAACCGGCTTCCCTTCCGATTCCGATTCTCGTTTCGTCTTCTCCAAACTCAATTCCCTCTCCCTCCGTCTCCGGACCCCTCTTTCCACCTCCAACTCTGTCCTCCGTTCTTCAATCCCCGCAGCAGAGTCCATGGGAAAACGGAATGTCGAAGCCAGCGAGACTGGGATGTGCGATTTGAATTTCCGCGAGGAGAAGATTGTCACCGGAGCTCCGGAACTCCTCTGCAAGACGATGTACGCTTGGGAGGCCGCTATCTCACCTCATTTAGCGGCGGAGAGGGAAAACGCGCCGGTAGAAGACTCCGTCGTGCTCCGGATGCTGGAAAATTGCTTGACGGAAGAGATGGAGCGTGGAATTAAAACCGAGAAAACGGATTTACTCTGTTTGGTGGAGACTGCCGGCGGAGTCGCCAGTCCCGGACCGTCGGGAACTCTCCAGTGCGATCTCTACAGGTAACACTTCATCTTCTCCTTTGCAATGTTAGGAGATTGGATGTGGTTTATCTCCTAACCCACGGTTATGCATTGTTATATAGGCCGTTTAGATTGCCCGGAATTCTCGTCGGAGACGGTCGTCTCGGTGGTATCTCAGGGACTATTGCAGCTTACGAGAGTTTGAAACTTAGAGGATACGATATTGCTGCTGTTGTATTTGAAGATCATGGCCTTGTTAACGAAGTTCCATTAACGTCATATTTGAGGAACAAGTAATGTTTCTCAGTGGCTTTACCTGTGGATTAGAAACTCATAATAGTTTCACTTTTTCTTATTCTTTGTTTTGAACACTTGTGGATGTGGTAGAGTACCGGTGCTCGTGCTTCCTTCTGTTCCCAAGGACCCTTCAGATGATCTTGTTGAGTGGTTTGTTGAGTCTGATGGTGTGTTTAAAGATTTGAGAGAGGTTATGATGACAACTTATTTGGAGAGAGTAGAGAGATTAAACAGCATGGCGAAGCAAGCCGGAGAGGTTTTCTGGTGGCCGTTTACTCAGCATCAGCTTGTGCCTGAAGAAAAAGTGATGGTTATCGACTCACGGTGTGGTGAACATTTTACCATATACAAGGTTTGTATGAGAAGAGACCTTAATAACATTTTGACATGTTCATTTTAGTTAGCATCGTTCTAAGCAAAGCTGGCTAATGAAACTTTGTCACTGGTATCATTTTTTCAGGGTTCGGATAACGGTTCTCTTACCCAGCAATTTGACGCTTGTGCAAGCTGGTGGACACAGGGGCCAGATCCTGCTTTCCAGGTCATCTGTGCCCATTCTTTTCCTAGTTTTCATGACAATTATCAGGAATCTTAACGCTTATATTTCTTTGCGATGACTCTTCTGAAGTTTATTTTGAAACTTTTGTTTAGGTTGTTTCAGGCTGAGCTTGCTAGAGAAATGGGTTACACTGCTGCTAGGTTCGGGCATGTTATGTTCCCTGAGAATGTATATGAACCTGCCTTGAAATGTGCTGAGCTCTTATTAGATGGAGTGGGAAAAGGTTTGTAAACTTGTTCTGTGGCATTGGTTTCAATTTCCGAACATTTTGGGGGAAGGCTAATTAGTTTATCCATGCAGGATGGGCTTCTCGAGTGTACTTCTCGGATAATGGATCTACAGCAATAGAAATTGCCCTGAAGATGGCGTTTCGTAAGTTTTGTGTTGATCATGAGACCCTATTGAATTTTTGCGAGGATACAGAAGAGAAAGAGCATATTGTGGTTAAGGTACAATCATCTTGCTAATGCTTAACGATACTTAGACACTCTGTTATGAATATTTGTTGTTCACCGCTGCTTACTAAGATGCAAGTGTTGCCCCTTTTCTGGATGTTCATCTTTTGCCACACGCCAGATTATCGTCATGCATTAGGGTCTTATGTCAAAACTTGATGTGTACTCTGCATCAGGTCCTAGCACTTCGAGGGTCTTACCATGGGGATACTTTAGGAGCGATGGAAGCACAAGCACCATCACCTTATACAGGCTTTCTCCAGCAGCCTTGGTAATTAGTTTATGATTGTTTGTTATTATCATTCTTGACAAACTTCTGTAGAATTTTCCTTGCAACAATCATCTTTATCTGGTTATTCTCAGCCGGCATCTACGTTTGAATTTCAGGTACACTGGAAGAGGCCTGTTTCTGGACCCTCCTACTGTCTTTCTATCCAATGGAGCGTGGACTCTCTCCCTCCCTGAATGTTTCTCTCAAACTGCCTCAGAAGAATGTAAAAGTTAATATCATCTTTTTCTCTCTATGCTAACCAAGAGTTCCTATACATTTCCTTTAGTTGTATGATTTAGTATTCCAAAACTCTTACAGCCTTCACCACTCGAGATGAGATCTTTGACAAAAGCAGAGACGCATCAGTTCTTGCAACAATCTATTCGTCCTATGTATCACAGCAGTTGCAAGAATTTTCTGGAACTGCACAATCCGCCCATGTTGGAGCACTGATAATAGAACCAGGTACGATAGTATATTCATCATTGGTCTGTCTATCTAGATTGCTAGATTCAAGCTACTATTTTATTAAGTGGACGATTTTAACTGCAGTAATCCATGGAGCTGGAGGAATGCACATGGTTGATCCGCTTTTCCAACGAGTTCTGGTCAGTGAGTGCCGGAGTAGAAAAATCCCAGTCATTTTCGATGAAGTGTTCACAGGTTTTTGGCGTCTTGGAGTAGAGGTAGTCGACTTTTTCTTGCTCTCAACTCATCTTGTCATAATAGTCCATTCACATTTTGCTAACAAATTACCATGTTTTTTTTACCAAGACTACTTCTAAACTTCTCGGTTGCAAACCGGACATAGCTTGCTACGCTAAGTTGATGACCGGTGGAATGGTTCCTTTGGCTGTTACTCTTGCCACAGATGCTGTATTCGATTCGTTTTCTGGAGATTCAAAGGTAATAAAACGAATGTACAAAAGCTCGCTCTCATCAAAACTATGTTCACCATTTCTGATTCCGCTTGAAGCCATCTGATTTTCTTTATTGGTTTGCAGCTTAAAGCCCTGCTTCATGGTCACTCATACTCAGCTCATGCTATGGGTTGCGCAACAGCCGCCAAAGCCATCGAATGGTTCAAAGATCCAGAGACTAACCATAACATCACTTCACAAGGAGGAACCTTAAGAGAGGTACTTAGGACGTTCCTATTCTTAAATTTCACCTTACACTATTCTTAAACTAATGATCAGTATGTTTTCGCAGCTGTGGGACGAAGAACTTGTGCAACAAATATCATGTCACTCTGCTGTTCAGAGAGTGGTTGTATTAGGAACACTTTTTGTTCTTGAACTTAAAGTAGATGCTTCGAATTCCGGGTAATCTACATCATAGGCTTCTTCTCTTGAATTTCTTTTAATCATTAGACTCATTATCATGAACAACTTTTCGTTTTTGTCTGCGTATGTTTCAGGTATGCTTCGTTATATGCAAAGTCTCTTCTAGAGATGCTCCGGGAAGACGGAATCTTCATGAGACCTCTCGGAAACGTCATATACCTTATGTGCGGCCCTTGCACGTCGCCTGAAATTTGCAAGCAGTTGCTCACTAAGCTCTACAAAAGACTCGGAGAATTCAACAGAAAATGAAACCCAACAAAAAAACTCTCCATGTCATTAAACACTTTAAATTTGCTGTCGGCTTTATTGCAAAGTCTCATTTTTTATATTGGTAGGTAGAGATCTATATGGGATCGTTTTTTGTTTTTCCTTTCACGAGATCTAATCGTTTTCTGGAAATTAAAAAAATAAAGAAATTGATCATCAAATTTAATAAAGATCACTAGGTCTGTTTTATAATGGCAAAAAGCAAAGTACACTGTACAAAACAAATAATTCTTTTCGCTGTATAAACAAATCCAACTAGAGTGGAATCTACGGCTGCAATTCGTTGGACAAGTGGTGAAGATTGAAGAATGGACTAACGAACACTAGTGGGTCCCGCAGATTGTCGTTTTTTAGTTTAAATTCCACAATAGAAAACGTAAACCTTAACGCACTGGATTAGTCCCACTAGAAACACTGGCAAATCTCACAGAGTCGCCATAGTTGACCGATTAACCCACAAAATTCCGAAATCATCGAGAAGACCAAAAGGCGGAGACTGTCCCGATAACTATCAACGAAGATCACTTCTCGTTCACTACTAATCATTTCTTCCAATTCGACGCCGGCGAGATACTCCTCTGATTTCGCCGTTCGATAAACAGGTTTACTTTCTTCTTACTTGTCTTCAATTGGTCACCGAGAGAGAGTCTACGGGAAGTCTCCGACGTGGGTTTTGTGTTGAGGATTAGTTACTTGGATTAGTTATTCGTTTGTTAAGCGGAAATGGGTTATTCTCATGGGTGTTTTGTGGTTTTGATTTATAAACTTTGGTTACTATTCACGATTTTAATTGTGTGGCTTCTGTGAATTGCAGATCTAGGAAATTAGGGGTTTTTATCTTAATCATCTATAAAGTTGGGAGAAATGCAGAAGTAGGATAATGGATAGAGGTAATAACATGAACAGAGCGAAGAGGAATTTGGATGGGAACGATGATGACCAGCCTGAGCGGAAAAGGCCTGCTCTTGCTAGGTAATTTCTCTTCCTTCCCCGTAATTTTTTTATTCTACTGAAAGTCTCTGACTTTTTTGGATTTTACGCTTGTGCCAGTGTGATTGTAGAGGCTCTGAAAGTAGACAGTCTGCAGAAGCTTTGCTCGTCTTTGGAACCTATTCTCCGCCGAGTTGTAAGTTAACTCTGCTTTTGTTGTGACTCAATCTTTGACTGCTTCTTGTTCTTGCCACTGTTATATTCGCTGCTATGGATTTATATTCTCACTTAGAATTTTAAGTTATATGCATTTGTTTAGAAATTAGCTATCTTTTTGTTAGAGCTTTAATGTTGGATTGCTGCTGAGCAGGTGAGCGAGGAAGTGGAACGTGCTTTAGCGAAATTAGGCCCAGCTAGGCTTACTGGAAGGTAAAATCGAAGTTGCTCATTGTATCTTAGCGGCTCTTCAATGTTAGGTTCTGGTTTCCTGAGGTTTGTTATTGATTTGCAGTTCGGGGTCTTCTCCAAAGCGAATTGAAGGTCCGGATGGCCGGAACCTACGGTTGCAGTTCAGGTCTAGGTTATCTCTCCCCTTATTCACAGGAGGAAGAGTAGAAGGAGAGCAGGGTGCTGCAATCCACGTTGTCTTGATTGATGCCAACACTGGGCGTGCTGTGGTGTATGGTCCAGAGTCTTCAGCTAAGCTTGAGGTTGTTGTGCTCGAGGGTGACTTTAACGTTGAAGATGAGGAAGGCTGGACACAAGAAGAATTTGAAAGCCATGTCGTGAAAGAGCGTCAAGGAAAGAGACCGTTGCTGAATGGAGAATTGTTTGTTACTCTCAAGGAAGGGGTTGGAACTTTGGGCGAGCTTGTTTTCACGGATAATTCGAGTTGGATTCGGAGTAGGAAGTTCAGACTCGGTTTACGGGTCGTTTCTGGGTGTTGCGAGGGCATGCGCATACGTGAGGCAAGGACGGAAGCTTTTACTGTTAAAGATCACAGGGGCGAATGTATGTATGGTCTTAAAATTTCCATTTTTTTTCCTTAGAGTGCAATGTGTTGTTACAATGCTTAGTTTGATGCACATATTTGTTTATGTGCAGTGTACAAGAAGCATTATCCACCTGCTCTGAATGATGAAGTGTGGAGATTGGAGAAGATTGGTAAGGATGGGGCGTTCCATAAAAAGCTTAACGCTGCAGGAATAATCACTGTGGAAGACTTTCTGAGAACAATGGTCAGGGATTCTGCAAAATTACGTGCTGTAAGTGCTCTATTATGTCAAGTTTCTGCTTGTGAAAGATATTGTTCTCTACATTTACGCTATGGCTAAGTATATCTTTATCCTTGCTTGTTTAGACTCTTGGAAGTGGAATGTCAAACAAAATGTGGGATGCACTAGTAGAGCACGCCAAGACGTGTGTCCTGAGCGGTAAGCTTTATATCTACTATGCCGAGGATACAAGGAATGTCGGCGTTGTGTTCAATAATATCTATGAGCTTAGTGGTCTCATTTCCGGGGATCAATACTTCTCTGCTGATTCACTTACGGAAAGCCAAAAGGTTTGTTGCATGTTCCTTAACTTATAACGCCAGTCTTTGTTTTGTTCTGCAACTTATGGTTTAGTTAACGTTAATTAACTATGTTTTCACTAACTGATGTATGTATCCAATTTGATTCTGTGTTGTGAAGGTATATGTTGATGGACTGGTGAAGAAAGCATATGATAACTGGAACCTAGTCATAGAGTATGATGGAAAATCTCTCTTAGACTTGAAGCAGCCTAACAGGTTGGGTATTACTCAATCTGATCCAGAAGGCTACTCAACGGCTGCCATTGACCATCCAATGCAGATGGCAGGGCATTCATCCTCTGTACCCGTTAATCAGTCTCCAGTGCTTCCAGATTTCGCTATTGGAGGTATGGAAATTTCAGTCTATCCCTTGGAAAATTGTATTATACAGTAGTAAGATACTAAACCTTGCAAGTTTGTTTTTTGATGTCACTTCAGGGTATGATCAGACTATGGTGACAAGGTATCCTCCGCAGCCCCAGCTTTTAAACTCCAACCCACCAAGATCACAATATGAGGTTGCTTCAGCTCAGGACCAGCTCATGGGAAATCTACATCAAACTCAGAGCACCATGAACAATCAAAACATGAACGGTCTGCTTGCGCTCGCTCCTCCACAGTCATCCACTAGCGGATACCAAAACATGAACCCGTCTTCAGCTCACCAGGCAAATATCAATCCTTTCGAAGACTGGTCAAACCAGCGGGAGAGAGGAGCAGAAGATTTCTTCTCAGAGGAAGAGATCAGGCTCAGAAGCCATGAAATGCTGGAGAACGAAGACATGCAACAGTTCCTCCGCCTATTCAGCATGGGAGGAGGGGGCAATGGCTCTGCAACACATTTGCCAGAAGATGGGTATAGTTTCCCATCGTTTCTACACACGCCTATGCAAGGTTATGATGAAGACCGTGGCCGATCAGGGAGAGCTGTTGTTGGGTGGCTTAAGATAAAGGCCGCGATGAGATGGGGTTTCTTCATCAGGAGGAAAGCCGCTGAGAGGCGAGCACAGATTGTAGAGCTCGATGATGATGACGAAGAATAGTCTCGTCTTTCCTCATCGTTATCGTACGGTTCCCTCAAGATGGTAACAACCCTAATGACTCAAAACATTGTTTACCAAATGGAAACCTGAAGCTTAAGGGCCACGATGCAGCAGAGTGAATGGAGGCGAAGTGTCCCACGTAATGTATGAAAGGAAGTGTACAGTTAGATTAAGTGGATGTGTGTTTTGTGGAGTAGGAGACTTCTAATATGTGTGATCTACTCATTGAAATTAGCAGCATTCTTAAGAACTGATTCTGCAGTCTTAGGTATATGATTCAACAAGTAGAATCTCTATCGTCTTTTTTTTTGTTCGATACTCTAAGTTGCTATCTGTAACCGTAAGGCTTGTTTTCACGAAACATCGTTACTTGATTTTTGCTTGGTTATTATTTTGTTGTGTTCTGGGACTTTTTAACCACCCCGAGAGTTTGCGGTGACAACACTAATGGCTGAATATTCTAAATATTGGATCGAGAGGGAGATGAAGTGGATAATTAGTGAACAGCACGGTTCTAGTAAAGGGAGTCGCAACCGTCTTGCTTACTACCCAGAGGATGTACATGTATTGAAGAATTTATTGAAAAGAAAAATCATCTTTAAAAATCATCCCTTTTGCGGCTTTCTTTTATTTCTTTTATGAAAGAAAACAAAAGTAAACATAATGTACAGTTTTTGCTTAGTTTTTGCTCATAACATCAAATTTTATGATTATTGTAACTATTTAAATAGTGCAGAAAATCATCTTGGTCGAAAAGTTTAAAACTGATTTTTGTTATTGTTTTGAATGATTGTTTGTTATTATTATTATTTTAACTGATTAAGTAGTTTTATCACTATTGTTGTCATTGTCATCCTGGTACAACGGAGCACACGCCTCAATGTAGACACGTCTCTTTGGAAAATGGATAAAAAACCCTTTCATGTAATTAAGTTGAAAAAGACATAAAGAGTTATTATTGTACACTGATGATAGAGTAAATATGTGTGTTGATTTTGGAACTGTAAATTGATGTTGAGGAGAGAGGAGTAGAAAAGAAAAATAGAGTTAAACCATTATGCCCATAAAACATTTATATAGTTCGATGTTTTACCAAATCATCACTTTTACGGCTTTCTTTTATGAAAGAAAAAAAAACAAACATGATGCACAATTGAAGTACTGAGGAAAATCATTTTGGTCACATTGTCTTTGTTATGAATTATAAAGACTTTGGGGTGGTTGCAGTAGATACCCGGTTGTAATAGCCGTTGTGTTTACCCAAGATGTGGTGATGGTTGCAAGTTATGCGGAGGTTGTAACATATGCAAGTATGTATAAGAAGTAAAATAATGTTGTCGTTTTTATTTTTAATTGCGTGTTTATGTTGTTGTCTACCTGTTTTATGCTCATACTTATGCTATGCCGTTTTTAACAGTTGTTATTTTTTCAGTGTTTTTATTTAACTGTCTAAGTGATGAGTTAGTGTTTAATTTAAATTTAATTTGCGTTACATTATTTGTTTTCTTAATACTATGTGAAACTTCCTTAAAATCAAGATCTAACTTCTTGAAATTATTCTGATTCAAACAATTTTTTTTGTTTAGTTATATAATTGAACACTTACCAAAGTCATAAGAATAGTCAAAACAGTATGAACGCAGGGCCGTGCCCATGTGTTAAATTATGAAACATTGGCCTACGGGCCCAAAATTTCTTAAAAAATTGAAGGGCACATATATATTAGTGGTTTATAAGTATGTATTAGTAGTATTAGTAAACTGATTTTATATTAATATAGCTACTAATTACTAATAAAATTAAATTACAAAAAGATTAGGACTTTAATCTTTCTTCTCTGTCGACGACTTCTCAACTTCTTCTTCTCAAGAAATAGAACAAAATCAAACAATAAACAAAAGATACTTGCTAATTACTAAGTCTTCTTTCTAAAGCTAATGTTGTATTTTTTTTTTTGCTATGGTTTTTATTTGTTTATTTAAGATGATGATAGTTGAACTTTGGAACAATCTTATTATTTGAATGGATTTTTTTAGGGCCATTTTTTTTTTCTGTTTACGGGCTCTAAATCTCTGAGAACGGCTTTGTATGAACGTAAAAAAATGTATTCGGCCAGAGTCAATTTAAGATGTCATTGAGTTGTGTTGGAAAAGGAAAAATCGTATTTTTCTGTGACTTCTCGATAGGAAAGGTTTCTATTATGGGATTTTGCATCTCATGGAAATGTAATGGAAGAGCAGTTTATGGAAACTTCCCAAAGCCAAAGCTGTGTATGGTCTTGTTATGAGAGAGAAGAGCAATTAAACTTCTTTGGTTTTCCGAAAGAGAAAGAGAAAGCAGAAATACAACAATGGCTCTGTTTTTCAACCGAATATCGAAGCTCTGCACGCAGACTCGTTTCTTCTCATCATTACCTCAGTCCCCGTATCTGCTTCTCGGCGGTAAGTTGCTGCGAGAGTCGCCAGAGGGAAAAGTCGGAAAACACAGGTTTTTCGACCCAACAACACAAGAAAGAGTGTACAGCGGTGAGAAGACTACTCCCAAGGAGCTCAATGGTCAACCTCTTCTAGGAACATCACAAGGTTGAGTCGCTTGTCTTGAGAAGAAATACTTTACCGTGCACCTCACGGATCTGTACAAACCCTGGCTCTCTTCATCTCCAAGAGTCATCTCTTTGCCTTCCATCGGGTTCGAACCCTCGACGCACGCCACGGAGATGTCTCTCTCTTCTTCCCGATCCTGTCCAAGACGACTTTATCGTGGCTGCAAAGTTCAGTGAGTACCAGCTAAGCGTGTGCAGGCCTCGTTGGGACTCTAAGTGGACTCACATCGACACCCCTTTCTCTCTTTTACCACCCTCTGATCTCATGTACTCAAAGAGAGACAAAGCCTTCTACTTCACCAGCTTTAAAGGTCTCTACATGGGTTCTTTGGATCTCAGCGAGAACGAGCTCGAGTTTCAAGAACTAACCCTACGAAACCAGCCTAAGAACCCAGAGGCAGGTTGGGAGATGTTGGACAAGTGTTTCATGAGCAAGCACTTAGTGGAATCTCCATCTGGTGAACTTTTCTTCATCAAGTGGTTAGTATTTTTAGCTATGTTACTTCTAATCAATCCAGGTAGAGTGAGTAGAGACTGATCTGGAGTGTTTTCTATGTAGGTACACATTGTGCATTCGCAGAGAGGAGGAAGATGGGGAATCGACAATCATGCACAGCGTAACGAAGCGGTTTATGGTGTTTAGGGAAGATGAGAAGAGGAAAGACTTTTGCTACACTGAAGATATTGGAGATCTCTGCATCTTCCTTGGCCGTAGTGAAGCCTTCTGCGTCAAGGCAAGTATGTACCCTGGACTCAAGCCTAACTCCATCTATTACATTGGTGTTTCGGGACTTGGATTTTACGATCTAGCTTCTGGTACGGTCCGTTCCTTCGACACCCCAGCTGGTAGGCCCTTGCTGGTCCCTTACCCATATTGGCTTCGTCCCACTAATCCCATTGCTTAACATTGTGATCCGTCCCATCTCTTCTCGGAGCTCTAGCTTGGATTTTGGTTTATTTAGTTCAATAAGTGGTCGTATTATTGCCACTTTTGTGTTGTGTGTTGTGTTCTTCACCAAGTGGTCCTTATCAGTTATCATGCCACTTGTAACTTGTAAGGTCTGCTTTGAGATTTGATTTTTGTGTTGGTTTAGTTTCTGTGATTGAGATTTTAATCGTATATTTTATATATGAACGTCTGTGGTGTTCCGTGTTATTGTCATCCCTTTGATGAAAGAGAAAATTACGGTCAAAGGCACTTTTCCAAAGTCTAATAACACTCAAAGACACTTTCTACTTTCTAGTGACTTTGGCAGTTTTGGAGTGAAGCATAATTCCAAACGTACCCTTGCTTTAATTTTCAGACCTTTTCCTTATCTTTTTACCAGAATTTTTTTTACTAAGGAAGCAAGTACCTTTTTGTTTGTAAAACAGAAGAGGTGGCCGTGTAATTAGTCGGAGGACGACAACGATGTAGAGACGTCGATGAAGAAGCCGCCGGTTTTGAATAAATCTGGGTTGCTGAAGACAACTTCCAGTTATGCTCCTGTAAATTTAAAATAATTTTCCACGCCTCCAAATCTGGATCTAGCTTCTCTCTGTCATTTTCGTTGCCAGACAAACTCTGTAGCGTTGATTTGAAAATTTAACAAAATAGGTAACCGATAACATTTGTACAGGCGCTAATGAACACACACAACTGATGTTGCATATGTTTTAGGTGATGGACACATGGATATAGAATCAGGGATTGATCATTGTGGATAACTAATTATAATTTGTGTTATGTTAGTTGGTAGCATGATAGGCCAAATTTTTGATGTACAATTACTAATAAACATATGTACAAGATGTACTAGACACTAATAATTCAATTGGCCATCAACGAAGAAATGCCCAATGTGCGCAGGGGTGACTTGTGTACATGTTCTACATCGAACCAGCGATGTTGCGATGACTTTAATACCTAACAAAATACGTGTTTAGTAACATATGTACATGGATTTTTGGATTTATTATCGTGGACGCTAACCGTAGATAGGTGTTCCAAATGCAGCTTAAGGAATGTTATCACGAATGGAAAATATTTGATATTTCTCCATTATTCGACGATATGCTATATGAGAGCGTCGATATCCCTGACCTCGACATCGACGAAATGGGCATCGTTTTCACCCAGGTATAGAAGCTTTATCTGCTTAGCATGGATTTCTCGAGGTCTAAAAGCTTCTCCTTCTTAATCTCACACAAGCTTTTTCTCCGACAGGTTAAAAATTTCTTCAACACTTTGAGACTTCAATCAACCTAAAAATGTGCGTCTAACCAGCTATGCATCGTACACAGGCTTGTGTCCATGTCTAATACGCTACGTGTTCTGATGTTGGGTATAATTTCTTCACCGACTTGAGGCTTCAATTTTCTGAAAGGAGGTGCGTCTGACCAGGTACACATCATCCAAGGCCCCTTGTCCATGTCTAATAACATACGTGATCATATGTTTGTTATAGTCGAACCACGCTGCTGCTCCCTTTATGGAGCTCCGCATCGTCCAATAGCTCTTATCCATGTCTGATAATCTGTGTGTTCAGATGATGTCTTCTCGGCAACATAGACAACAAATAATTTAATATTCCTCCATTGTCCGACGACACGCTATATGAGAACGCCGACATCGATGAAATGGGCATAGTTTTCACCTAGGTACAAAAGCTTCACCCCCTTAGCGTGGATTTCTCCAAGTTCAAAAGCTTCTCTTTCTTAACCTGGCGCAAGCTCTTTCTTTGACATAGGTTAAAAATTTCTTCACCGCCTTGAGGCTTCAATCAACCTAAAAGATGTGCGTCTAACGAGTTACGCATCGTACACATCCTTGTGTCCATGTCTAATACGCTCCATGTTCAAATGTTGGGTGATAATTTCTTTACTGATTTGAAGCTTCAATTTTTCGAAAAGAGGTGCGTCTGACCAGGTATGCATCATCCACGACCCCTTGTCCATGACTAATAACACACGTGTTCATATGTTCGTTGTAGTCAAACCACGCTGCTGCTCCCTTTATGGCGCTCCGCATCGTCCAATACCTCTTATCCATGTCTAATAATCAACGTGTTCAGATGATTGAGATCGTCACCACACTGCTGGTTCGGCACACAGAATCGGTGAGACGAAGGAATCGCGTAGCAGTTCGTAAAACACAAAACCAAACGGCTGCTTTGGTCGAATGACAGAGCCACTGATATTGAGAAATTGTCGCGGCGGTGGGTGAAGGCAGGAGCAGCATCGAAGAAAAACGACGGTGTTAGATTTTACGTTTCTTGCCTGCCGTTTCAGTTTTCTTCAAAGTGAAAAAAAAAGTGAAATTAAGAAGGTGAAAGGATGGATCTTCTTTTTGCAAATATAAGTGTGAGTGAAGGGTTTTTTTGTCATTCCCACACATCAAAGTCCCTTGAGAGTGAAAAGTGCCTTTCTTGTAACTTTGTAACTCATAAGTGCCTTTAGATGTAAATAACTCTTGATGAAATCACTCAAAAATAATGACAAATTCATGTTCAATGTAACTCTTTGATAAATAAGAAAATTTTCCAACCAACCATATATATAAAAGACTAGAAAATCCGTTCCAGTACTGAGCCTACAATGTTAATAGAAACCTCAATCAAACAACCCTAACATTCGCATACCCATAAGAATAAGAGAATCTATACTATATAAAAGTTGAGGCTATAAGCCTCTAGAGCGTCCACATAGGATTAAAAACGCGATTTGATTGGTCCACATAAGTATTTCCTAGATTTGAATTGGTCCACATCATCACATAAAATTAGCTATTTGTTCAATTAGTTAAATTCCTTTTTATATTTTTATATTTTAAGAAAGTTTCATAATTCAAAGGTAAGCAATAGGAAAGTTTCCAGAATTTATAAGTGTAATATTAGTAGAGATATGTAATAAATAAGAAAATTATACCAACAATATCATTATATATCAACATCTAAAATTATTTATATTTGAATTTTTTTTCATTAATTTACTTTTTATTTTTATCAGCAGAATTGTAAAAAAGGAGATTTTCCTTTAAGAAAAAAGAAAACAAATAATAATACTATTGGAAATTAAATAAGGAAACAAATAAGGAAATTTTCCTTTAGCTAATAAAAATTAAAAACCCTAACACACTTTTGCCATCTATTTCTTATATATACCAAGAGTCATCTCCTCCCTTTTTAACACCTACAAAAGCTACAATTGTATTAACTGGATTTTGATCAAATGTAGCTTACATGAATAAACATATGTTCACGTCAGAGCTTGATATAAGATCAAACAAATCCAACATCGAGAAACCACCTGGAAACAAGATGGAGGGATATATATTGAAGACAAGATACTTTGACATCACATATTGAAAGTTCACATAGATCGATCAATTCTTCTAAAGGATATGTAGTGGATTAATGAAAAATCATGAAGCAAAGGAATGATTGAAACGAAGACAATGGGCATCACACTGAAGGTATACATGTCCTTCTGTGAAATAAATAAATTCGCTTGCTTTATTTCGAATATTATCTGGTCTATGGTGTTCAATTGATTTTCTTTGTATTTTGATAATGGAAGCACATCCAATTAATTAATAAATAAGTTACATTACCACAAAAAATTCAAAGGACTATGAAGAGAACAAGGAATCGAAATTACCAAAGTGTAGATTAAATCAAAAGTGAATTGTTGCTCCTAAATTAGTAAGCTTTCGATGGGGAAAATAATATTGATTATGAAGAAAGAAAAAAAATCAGAATAGTGATTACATGACACAAATTGAAAGGAAAAGGCAAACACAATAGAAGGCTGTATTTTGTTCCTTTTCTATTTTATTTTTTGTTTTTTCAATGTTTTGTAATATTTACATATTCATGTGTTTATAAGTAGTACTTTTAAAAGATGCCACTTGAAAGAGAAGGAATATAAACAAAAGTAAATTTATGAAAAACAGAATAAGATAAATTCCTTCTCATTTTAGTATTTACATATGACATTCAAAGGGCCTGTTTTGAATATTTTTTTCAATAAGTCATTCTAGCTTGATTTTATTTTCAGTTTTTCAGGTAACGAAATTGTGTTTTATTTAATTATAATTTATTCTAAATTTAAGAGGAATAGAGCCATGCAGAATTTTACAAGAGGAATGGAACCATGCAGAATTTTAAGGGTCGAGAATAACCTACAGAAATAAGAGAAAAAAAAAAGAAAAAAGTAGACACAAAGAAGAAGAGTACCAAGATAAAACCGAAGAATAGCGAAAACAAAGATATTGAATTGCGAATACAAAATAGAGACCAAAGAAGACAAAGATGAATAAGGAAAAACCATATTAAAAACTTGTGAAGAACAATTTGAAGAGGAATTCGAACAAGAACGAAGGAGAAGAAACCTAACAACAACAAAAAAAACTTGCGAAGACCAATCTAAAGAGGAAATAAAATAAGAACAAAGGAGAAGAAACCAAATCAAAACAAAACAAAAAAGAGAAAAAAGAAGAGCGAAGACGAAGAAGAGCAAACGCGAAGATGAGTGAAAATGAAGAAGAAATCAAATAAGACCAAAGACAAAGAAGAAAACAAAACATAAGATACTGAAAAAGAATGAATCAAAGAAAATTAAAAAAAACTTTAAAACAACAACGAAGAAGAAAATGAAGAACAATTATGTGTGTCGACTAGCTTCTCTTCATTTAGGTTTTAGGTTTTATAACCATTGAAAACTTACCAAAATATTAGTTTATCATCTAGCTTAAATTTATTACATACAAATATTGTTATTTATAGCATTTTAAGTTCTAACATAACCAACTGAAGTTATTTTAAATAAACATCATGTTACATACAAATATTGTTGACATCTAATTTTAAGAATTTCACTAAACATATTTAAAAATATATTTCTGTTTAGAAAATGACTAACACGTCACAATACAGTAGAACCTCTATAAAGTAATACTCGATAAAGTAATAATCACTATAAGATAATAAATTTCTGGTCCCAATTCGGGCCAGTGTAAAAATAAGTAAAATGCGATAAGATGATAAGATAATAATATTTTTGAAACTCCTATGTAAAAATATGGTCCCAAAGATAAGTTAAAGTAATAATTATATAAAATTATACATTTCATATGCCTAAGAAAATTATTAAATTATGAATTTATATTTATCTCTAACTTTTTATTATATAAAAAACTTATGATGTAATTTTTCTATACATGTAAAATTGTTAAATATGTTCTAAACATATTATTTTCAACTTCAGCTATATTTTTTTCTAAATAATTAAATTTTTTATCATGTATAAAAGTTTATATAAATATTTATATTAGCTAATAATATATGTTCTATTACGATATCCAAAAGACTTGATCATAATTTTAAATTTATTTATGTCATATTAACAAATATATTATTTTAAATTCTTAGTGTATGAATCATATGGATAATAAATTTCGAAGATTATGAATTAAAAAAATATGTTTCTAAATTAATAAATATTGAGTTTATTCATAAAGTAATATCTCTCTAATATAATAAATTTTCAAAGTCCCAACATTTTTATTTTATAGAGGTTTTACTGTAGTTCATAAATTAACATTACATTTTACAAGTAAGTTTAGTGATAAAGTAAGTTTGTCCTATTATAATGATTTCAATATCTTCAAGTAAGTTTTGGTCATTAGACATACACAAACATTTTTGTTACCGGGATATTATCTAAACAATATATATTTTTGTATGTCAAGATTTGATCTCAACACGATATTGATATATCTAAAAACTTTTGTTTTACAGAGAATTTTGGTATTTAAATATTGATAAATTTTAATTTTTGATTTTTGCAGTTTAAAAAAAATAAATAAAAATATATTTTAAACCGATTTAATATACAGACCCGCGCGTGCGCGGGTGAAAGTCCTAGTCTATACTATATAAAAGTTGAGGCTATAAGCCATTGAAGACGTCCACATAGGATTATAAAACATGATTTTATTGGTCTATAAAGCATCTTCAAAATTAAGAAAATTTCCAAATATTAAATTACACATCACCATATAAAATTAAGAAAGTTTCCAAATTTTAAACAACTAATAGTATCATTCCACATATTCATATAAAATTAAGAAATTTTCCAAATTTTAAACAACCAATAGTATTAATAGAACATGTTTAAATTAGAAACTCCACAAATCCAATGTAATTAAATTAGTATTTTTAAAAATTATTGTTAAAAATGATAACTAACTAAATTTTTAAAAACTATATAAAAAAAGAATTGTATAATTAAAATATTAGTTATAAAGAATTAAATAAAGCTTAAGGTGATTCTTGACGAAACTTAAATTTTTACAAATAAAGAATAGGTTACACCATAATAACTGAAGAATTGTTATAAGCAAATAAAGCCAACATTGCAAAAGAGTCGATCTCAACATTACATAATCTATGAATAAAAAAATGAAGATAGAAACGAAAATGTGTAATATCGTATAGAAGACATATGAGTTCATTTGCAGTTTTTTTGGTGATGAGAGAGATCAAGCTTTGGGAACTAAAACAAAAAAATCAAGAAAACAATAGCATACTACATAATATTTAGTTCATCGTAGCTTCATATCTACGATAAAACAATTTTATCTTAGTTACTCTTCATATCTACGATGTAAATATTACACCAAAAATTTATCTTAGTTATTCTTCATATCTTTTAAGAGATTTCATCTACATGTAAATAGCGATTTTCAAATAGAGAAAAACACGAACCTTCCAAAAATGGCAAAATATATAAGGATAAAAAGATATAGGCAATAAACCTATTAGGGATAGAATAATCAGTTCTTCTACATCTTCTAATATTTTCTGAAAAAATGTATGAGTTTGCCATAAGTTTATTGATAAGCAGGGCTTCATCCAAGACTCATACCGTAAAAGACATATGAAGAAGATATGGATATTGTTTCTTTGATGGTCACAATGATTGTAGGTGTATCAATTCTATGAGCAGCCAGAGTTTGATCGGTCAAGATAAAGTTTTTGCCATCAAATTCAAAAGGAAATAATTTCATTTTTGGTGTAGTATAAACTTGTCAAATATGATTACTCGATTTGATTAGAAACATGATATGAGGTGAGTTAATAACCATTTTTGAAATTAAATAAACACTAACTGAATTTTGCAA